TGTATTTTTTTTCTTTTTTAAACTCTGGCTGTTTTTAAGGTTTTTATCTTTATCGTTGAATTTGTGCACTTTAATTATAATGTGCATTGGTGTAATTTTCTTCATGTTTTTTGTGCTTGGGGTTTGTTGCACTTATTTGTTCTGTGGATTTATAGTTTTCATCAAATTTGGAAAAACTTTGGCTATTTCTTAAAATAAGTTATCTATACTCCACTCTCACCTACCTCTTCTAGGACTCCAATTTATTTGTGTTTTAAGGCTACTTGAAGTTGTCCCAACAGCTTACTGATGTTCTGTACATTTTCCCAGTCTTCTTTCTCTGTCTTTAATCTTGGATAGTTTCCATTGCTGTGCCTTCGAGTTCACTGACCTATTCTTCTGCACTAACTTGCTGTTAAACCTACCCAATGTATTTTCATCTATAGAACTTCAATTTTTTTTATATATCTTCCGTATCTCTTCGTAACGTGATATTTCTTTTCTCTACCTCATTTAACATAGTAAATATAATAAATAGAAATAGTAAATAAGGACATTAAAACAGCTATCATCTGTCATTTTGGGTTTTTTTTTATTGACTGACTTTCCCTCCTCATTTTGGGTCATATTTTCCTGCTTCTGTGAATGCCTGGTAGTTTTTTATTGTATGTGAATTTTACATTGTTGGGTTTTGGATTTTTGTGTGTTATGTGTATGTTCTTTTAAATACTCTTGAGCTTTGTTTTGGAATGCAGTTAAGTTAGTTGGAGACAGTTTGATCATTTCAAGGCTTGCTTTTTACCTTTGCTGGGTGGGCTAGAGCAGCCTTTAGTCTGGGGCTGCTTTTCTCCAGTACTGAAGCAATATCCTCCTGAGTACTCTGCCTGATGCCCTGTTCGTTATGAGGTTTTTCCAGGTTGACAGTGGGTACACAGACTATTCCTAACTCGAGAACTTTTCTGCTTGCTTCTTTTTGCTTATTCTTTCCCTGTTGTTGGATGTGTCCTTATGCTGATCAATACTTACCTGAAGACTTGAAAGGAACCCTCTGCGTGTTTTTGGAGCTCTCTCCTTTCTATGTGGCTGTCTTCTCTCTGGTACTCTGCCCTGAAAATTCTAACTGTCCTGGCTCCCCAAATTCTTAACTCTGTCTCCTCAACTCAGCAAGACTGCTTGGTTCGGGTTGGGTTCCCCCCTCCCACACCACAGCCTAGAATCAGTAATCTGGGGCACTCACTGGGCTCACTTCGTTTAATTCCCCTATCCTATACTGCCTATCATCCAATTTCTAAAACCTATTTTTTTCACATATATTTTTCCATTCTTTTCAGTTGTTTGAGGTGGGAGAGTAAATGTTTTTCCCACCTTTGTAAATGAAACAAAGTTTGCCCAACTGCTCAAGCCAAAGGCTTAGGGTTTATTCTTGGTTCTTCTCTTTTCCTCCACATCTAACCCACCACCACGCCGTGTCAGTTCACGATTCCCACAGCTGCCAGGTTAAGCCACCTTCACTTTCACTTTCACCTGGATTACTATGCTGACCCACTGCTCCTTTTCCATTCTTGCCTCCTACAGTTGGTTCTCCACTACATGAATGAACTTAAATATATCAAAGTCTATCATTCACACTTAAACCCTTCCTGGCTTTCCCCGTGGTGGGCTTCAAGCCCCTCCATTATCAGGCCTGCCTCCTTTTCCAACTTCATCTCTTTAATACCATACAACCACACTGGCCTCCCTCTGTTCCTCCATTATACCAAGTTCTTTCTCATACCAGTCTTGTGCCTGGAATGTTTTCTTATGTTCTCCCCTGAATGGCTTCTCAGCTGTCAGTTCCTTAGCAGGGCCTTCTCTGATGACCCTAGTTAAAGTAGTTTCCCCTCTTGTCAGTTAGATGGCCCTGTTCATTTCCTTCATGGCACTTATCACAATCAGATTACCTTTTTTTCCTTCCTGCTGAGCAAGATGTGCCCTGAGCTAACATCTATGCTGGTCTTCCTCTTTTTTGCATGTGGGTTGCCCCCACAGCATGGGCGCTGAGGAGTGGTTTAGGTCTAGGCCACCAAAGTGGAGCCCACCAAACTTAGCCACTAGGCCACAGGGCCAGCCTCATAATCAGATTATCTTGTTTATTTTTTGCCTAGTTGTTTCTGTCCTTCCCCACTAGAATATAAGCCTCTTAAGGCAGGGACTTTTTTGTTCATTCCTAGGTCCCCTGAATGCAGAACAGTACCTAACCCCATAAAAGGTACTTAATATAAATGTGTAGAATGAGTGAAGAAAAGACCTCAAGTAACTTACCAGTCATGCAATTTTTTTTCTATTAGGATGGAAGAGTTGTAACTTTGTGGTTCTCCTACCCTCAGTGCTTCATTTATCCCTGTATGATAATTTCTAGGAACGTGGGCTTTTGTTTTGATCTCCAAAAAGGAGTGAAATATAATATACTTTGGTAATAGTTACCTGTTACAGAAAACTAAGATTTAAAAACAGAACTAGATTAGGCCATTCATACATTTAATTGGAATAGTACTAACCATAGAAGGATAATAAAAAATACCTGTTCACTTAGTTTTATAACTTGTTACGTTGGAAAAAATGATCCCTCCTAAAATTGCTATGGAGGTATAGCCTCAAACTTCTTAAATATGTACATTATAGTTCATGTATAATATAAACTAAACACTTTGAAGGGTTGAATAACCAAATACTTACCTAATTGGAGTATGGTTTTCTTGACTTTCAGAAACATGTAGAAAAATTCTAAATACCAGGATGTCTCACAAAGTATAAGCTTACGGGTCTATGTTTTTATGTTTGGTTCATTGTATTTAGAGGTAAGTGGACCTGTGCATTATAAAAATAACACTCTTTCAAATTAATGAGATTCACTTTTGAAATTTTTTAGATATACACACTCATAATGGGCCAAATGGGTCTCACTCTCAAATTTATCATTTGGGATTATCAAAAAGTAAATTCATCAGTCTCATCTATACATGTATTGACTAGTTTAGTCATTCAAAGTAATCCTTTGCTTCTTACAGTTACTGGTGCCTATCTTGAATAATGAAGTTTGAATTTCACAAATGTGCAATAATTCCATACCTTTCCTGTAGCATGTCCTGAGCCCTAAGCTGCAATAAGGATTACTCAAGGTCAAGGTAACAAATGACTGTTGTTTATGGACAAAATAAGCCTCTTGATTTGTGTATTTGCTAATAGTTCTGCTTGACTTTAATGCACACATTGTCAAAGAGATGAATACCCACCAGATTCTTTGTCAAAACGTAAGTTTAGGCTGAATTAAATCACTTGGCTATGTTTTTGTACTTTAATGTACATGTGAGAAAGATTCAGAGTTCTCTAGCAGATAGAATTCCACTCTTCATAAGCCTTCATACTCCCTTCTTATACTTAAGGCTTTATTTGCATAGCACTATTGAAAACAGATCCAAGTTAGTGGATATCTTAAACTAATTCGGTTAACTAAAGCAGAGTTTATAGATTTCATATAATAGTTATGGTGTGCTTTAAACAAGTCGTATTGCTGATAAACCTTAACAGCATGACCAGTAAAGAGCTGCCTAAATAAATAAATCTCTTATTGTTTAAAAAGCACAGATAGCTCTTAGGCATTGGAGCATGCCATGATGATGTAAAAAGTTACTCCGATGTATTCTTCATACCAGACTGAACATCACGTCTTGTGACTGAAGGCCAAGTTTAAACCAGTGTTCCTTTAGTTCCAGGAGCACACTATGGACTAAGCTGCAGCTTAAACAAACACATCTTCATGGAGGTCATTAGTCAGATTGTCACACAGTTTAACTAATTCGAATACTCCTTGCTTTCTTAAAACCTACTTTTCTTTGAATGTTGGACATACTAAACATGAAATTCTTCATTTGTCCACATGGTTAAAAGCATTTGGCTTTTCATATGTGAGAATATCCTATTAAAAAAGGAAATAACTAAGATATTATCATGTAGAAATAAAAAGCCAAATGCTTTTCTGTGTCTAAGAACTGACTGTTCAAAAGCTACTTGGTCCATAAAATTTAACGTTACTAGGTTAGAAGAAGACAATATTACAAAATCTTAGTCTCTAATCTCTCCAGTGAGACAATGTAGCAGCAGCCCAGAATTTCTTTGCTATTGTGACCAGTAAGAAAATATGACCCTTAAAACAACAAAACTGTTTTGCTGCCACTTTCTGCAGCCTTTGCTGTGACACACGTCTCTACTGCGGGGCTCGGGAACTACGGGCTTGGGTTTTCTTTTGAGCGAGTTCACGCACTGCTAGGTAGGAAATTACTTGCCCCCTCAAGAGTATTAAATTAACCATGTTTGTCTTGAAATAGGTTTTAGGCATTATTAATAACAAGAATTAAATGAAATCAAGTCAAAACAAACACTTCATTCTAAAAGTAAGTATAACCTATAGTAAATAAATGATTTAAAAACAATGTGAAATGCCATAGTCTGATGAAATAAAGTTTTGTGACTTTGTGGTAACTGGACTTCCACTATTATATCTATTAGAAATGTCTAGTAACTGAATTTCTAATAAGACAAGTCCTTTTCTCTCCAACAGTATAAGAAAGGGTTTTTTTGGGTAGCAAATTATTTATGCAAAGCTATTTTCTTTACAATGAAAAGTATAAAATAGGTATAATGATATTTAACTCAAACCAATTCAAACTTTACCTGAATAGCTATGCTTCTGTCTGCATGTAAAGTCATCATTATAAGTCTTCCTAATTGTGGGACTTTGAATGTTTACTACTTGGAGGGACAAACTATGATGGGAATTAGACCATGATGAGAATTAGCTCCACAAACAGAAGGCAACATTAAATAAAGCTGACAGTAAAAGAAATGCAGGCCATAAACTGTTGTTTTTGTTTCGTTTTTTTAATATCTATATAAAAAATAACGAGCGATTTACAGATCTCTTTCTCTAATCAGAACCTCAAGTGTATATATAAAGGTACTGTACAATATATAAACATTTACAACCAGTAAGTACATCCATATTTTGCTTAGCATTCCAAGGCCACATTGCTAAGTCAGTATATAATCAGTACAGTGACAGGTTACTTAGCAAGGAAAGAGCCACATCAGACTGACAACATATGACATCAAAGTTATGTCACAGTTAACAATAAAAATAGGAGTTTTATCACTAATTGTGGACTATAGGGAAAATAAATCATTTCTGTGATACTAAATTCTTAGCATTTATCAAGCCTCCTAATTTTGCTCTATTCAAGTAGTTACAGTAGGTGGGTAAATATAGTTCCGGATGAAAATGGGATTTCAGAAATCTCACTTTGGGAAGCATGTCTTATCTACAGGGGCTGAGTCACTTGTTGTAGTAAAGAGTTTCACAGTCAGACTGAGAGGGAAGGAGTTGGACATAATGTGTTTCACAATAACATGATGAACCCAGGGTGAAGAAGAAGCGTGTTCAAATACTCCATAAAATGGCTTTATTCTGAGAATGTTCCTTTATTTATAGATGCTACTGACTTCTGCTTCAGGGACTGAAAAACCTGGATATATTTTATGGAGTTAAAAAACTCTCCACCTTCTAACAAACATCTTTAATTAGACTTTAAAAAATAACTCTGAAAATTTGTACAAGCTAAGCCGATGTTTAGTCTCCCTTTCTTGTTTTAAAATAAGTTAATGTAACTAGAAATTAAAATTAAATAAGCTCTAGCAAGCACTGTCTACCACCCCGTTTGTCCGTACTCGCTGAGCAGGTCTCACACACGATCCGCTTCTAAACAACCCAACTTGTACAGCTGCTACCAGAGGAGCTGGCACTTGATCTGGCAGTGGGCTGTGAAACTGGGTTTATAATTAAGTCCCTCCCACAATCTGTATGATATTTCGACTCTTCAAATATGTAGTATGTATTAACAACTAATGACTTAGTAGTAGGTACAAGCAAAATATCCAGAAACAGAAATTTGGTAGTTTTTCTTCAAACAGCAATAAGCAGTGTTACCACATGCTTCTTTGTGGTTTCATAATGAAATAACTGAAATAAAAGGGCGATCTGAGACGCTATTACGTCAGGGTTGGTAACAAAGCAGGAGGTGAACTCTTAATTGCTTAAAGTACTTTCTTATTTTGAACATTCAATTGTAAGTAATATCTATAACAGTTACTTAAAATACTTTATCCAGCCAAATTTAAAAAACCATAAGAAAGTGTCAATATTTGACTATATTTTCTCCTTTACAGTAGTGATGTTTTGGAGTTTTATTTTTAAACTGGGACTTCATCAGTAGCCGTTAGAAGAGGCAACTGCCATCTTTAATGATGAGTTAACAATCTCTTCTTCTGCAAAACTAAAATATTTCTCTCTGTAAACATGCAACATGCTATTGAGAATATCAACTTCCAAGCCAAACCTAATTTTTTCATTACTGTGGACATATCTGAGTGAGAAGGATAGAACAGACATGATACAGTAGATAACTTGGCACAAATATAAAGTGAGTTGTGACCACATTGTGAGTATCAACAAATGTCATTTGTTCAGACACTCATGAAGACGAGCTGCGCAGCCTGAGCAGGGCATGTCAGATGAGAGGCTGGGCATGTCAGAAGAGTGCGTGGATGCAGTTCCTTCCTGAGCACAGGGGAAGGCAGCCAGCCGAGGGGACAGGTGGTTCTTAGCAATCCTAAAGGCCCCTCATGCAGCCTCGATAACTTGATGCTCAAGTTAAAATGTACTTTATGTGTGTTTCAGAATTTCTGAAAAAATGACTTAAAAAAAAAATGCTGCTCTTTAGTAAGAAAAGATTACACCTTGGTTTTCTCTGTTTTATACTAAAGGTCACAGCCGTTTCTCGGCCACACCAGTCGTGCCTGTGGCTCTGTGTGCACTCGGCACCTTCCAGGGCCCTGGAGTTATCGGTGTCTTCTTAGCTGGAGAACCGCTTTCAGGTTTGAACCCTCCACTCTCTCTGTTTTTGTCAGCTGCCTCGAGTTCTTTTCCTTTGTGATCTTCTGGTTTGTTTAAGACCATTCTTTCTTCAGGTTCCTGCTTCCGCTTTTCTGATACTTTGACGCTTTCTCCTATTTTATCTTTACTGGAACTTGTTTCTCCTGAGGTTGCTTTCCTTCCTTGGTCATTTTCAGATGCTGCTCTACTAGTAGTGTTATCAGTCTTTTTGGCTAGAAGAGATTTTTCATCCATTCTCTTGCTCTTTTCCTCTGGAGACCTTGTTCTATTTTTTCCAGACTGACTCTGCTTCATATCTTTCCTGAGAACACCGGCTTTTTCTTTCCCGTCCCAGACGCGCTCAGCACGGTCACGAGCACGGCCCCCTCCTCTTCGACTCTCCAGCTCTAGTAATTTGGCTTCCGCACTGGACTGGTCTTTGCTTCCTTCAGTTTTCTGCTGCTTCTTTGGGCTTGAAGACTGTCCTCTGCCTTGCCGGCTGTGTTCCTGTCCAGACCCTGCCCGGGCGCCCGGCTGACCACTGTTCTCCCCTTTCCGAGGGCTGACTGATCTGTCTCGGGGTCTTGTTTTGGGCTCATTTTTTAGAGGACTGGGTATCTTTTCTAAATGTTCCTCTGAGTATCGACTGGCTGACTTTTGGGGACTGGCAGATCTACCTCTTTGTGGAATACCAGTTTCTACTTTTAAGAGATTTCTCTTGTCACTGTGCCCAAGACTGTTGGGTGGGTCCCTTTTATTCACATTTTTCTGGAGAAGAGACTGATGTTTTATATCAGATTGCTTTTCATTTAAAGTGCTTTTCTTTTCATGCACAGTGTCCTTTAATTCTTCTGCCTTTTCACAAATCTGAACTCTCATTAAAGATTCTTCAATTACTGGCACATGAGACTCTTCAAACATGGAAGCAGAATGTGGAGATGGGGGAAACGGTGACTGTTCATCATAAATCACACTTGAAGATGAAGGACTATTCATATCCCAATCACCTAAAAAAAGTGATTTCAGTGGAACATTATTAAATTTTAGAATTATAAATAGGAACAGTTAGTTTTGAACTTTGGCAGCCATTCAGATTTTACTGACTGCTTGCTTAAACAGCCTGAGTACGAATATTTTATAAATAAAGTTTATATATGTTTAGATATCTCTCTATAAAGGCAGATGTATACAGACAGCTGCGCTTGCACATGAAGGGTAGACAGTTTATATATACACAAAATGACAGTATTCATTTTTCCAATTACTTATGTATAATTAGTGAGATAATACATGATGTGTAAATTCTTTGTAAGTAATAAAGCCCAATAAAAAACTTAGACAAAATAAATAATAAAATTGGACCAAATTACCTGGTCCAAGAAGATTACTAATTTAGCTGTTATCACTGGATATAGCTTACAGATATGCCAAAATCACTAAAAAAGGAGACCAAACTGTGGTAACCAGAATGAGGTTCATGGGCATTTGTAAATAATTTTTCTGCATTAAGCTGTCAAATTTAATGTCAAAAGGAAACTGAAAAGTGCAGATGATAGAAGTAGATGTATTTAATAGCATCATTTTTAATTAAAAAGAAAAAAAAAAAGAAGGAAGTGATTTACAAGACATGCAAATTTACCAAGTCTTTTTAAGGAAAGACCAAGAAAAGCCCTGAAAGCCTTAATGTTGCTCAGGTTTCACGTAGGAGCACAGACCGGAAGGAGCCAAACCTGAAGAAGGAAGAGAAAAAGCCTAGGACTGTGTAAAAAAAATCACAGCGCAGTTAGCAAAGATGTCACCGGGAATGTATGATTTACAAGCAGATGGTGGAAGATAATATAGTCAGAGAATTATAGGCTGGAAGGGGACTGTAGGAAGTCATGTCTACACTTATCCCTCAAAAGCTCTATGGGGAGGAGGGGAGGAAACTAGAAGGGACAAGTACGAAGTGCTGTGCTACTTTATTTCTAGACTACTGCACTCAGTTAAAAATAGTGATTTTCAAATACTACATTTCAAAAACACGATGAAACCAAGGAAGCCTAAGATCATTACAGGAGTACAGACGTGGTCGCATGTCCAATTCCACATCTCTAGATAGGGCTATAGTAACTTATTTTTGACAAGTTCAGGCCAGAAAAGCCTGAAGTTCTTATGATACTCATTAAGAGAGAAACTTATCTTACTATAAGGAAATAAATAACATCTGGAGAGATTTCAAATGTTTTTCATGACATTTAAATCGTTTGCCTGTAATGTCCCTGTTTTTTACAGGTAAATTTCTCTACAAAAGTGACTATATGTTTTCTCTCAAAACTGCTTAATATATGTTCCATTCCAACAAAAGTCCTGCCTGAAGCCACTTATTTTATAATATTATTTATAATAACTGTGCTATATAACTAGCTTTAGATGGTTCTGGTATTTACCTTTGAATTAGCTGGTAAAATATCTATCCCTCCAAATAGATACTCCTTTTCCTTCTGCTGCCCCCTCCCTAACACACTCTTAACCTTTCAGCTCCAGGTGAGCCACCTCACTTACCATGGTCAGGTATCAAGCCAGTGCCTGGCCTCAAAAGAAGAAGAACTTTATTTCCACCGGCCTGGATGAGCTCGATTGCTCGAGTGTGTGTGATGCCCTGTGTAGGTTCCCCATTGATTTCAACAATCTGGTCACCAACCTGGACAGAGAACATTAACAAGAACAACATGAAACCATGCATCCTTCTTCAGTTCTGCTTCTGTCAACTCTAGAGCCACTCAGCCTTGCTGAGTGACTCTCTTTCACTTGTAAAATATTTAACTTGTACACAGTGGTGGTAGCAATAGGAAGAGACAATGTCTAGTTTTATTTACTCTATAAAATCCTACAGGGGAAAGTTTTATATGACTGGTAAGCAGGATCTGGGTATCTCGAAATCACAAATCAGATTCTCAGTTTTCCACCAAAGGCTAAGTGGTGGAAGGGGTGAAGTCTCTATGATCCACATGACACCACAGGGCTGTATCTGAATGATCAGCCCATGAGGGGTACTTTTCAACTTGAGCTGAATCTTGAGTTTATTTCCTAAAACCTGGGCAGGTGGCTCCTTATCTTTGAAGCCTTTCCTGACCTTCAGGGAGAACCGCCCACTCCTTCCTCTGTGTTGCCCATACACCCTGTACACATATGAGCCATCAGATAAGTAAAATATTCATAGATTAAAACTCTGAAAAAATTCAGCTTGGAGAACATATATAATATGAATATTTATTTAAAACCAATAATTGGCTTACACCTCATGATTTTAGTGTGAAATTATTTTCTTATAAAACAAACATAAAACTGGAGATCAGAATAAGATGCCTTTGTACCATTGCTATTTACTAGAAATGCTGTCTATAGTTACATTAAAAGAAAAATGAAAAATATGGATGAGTCAACTATAACTTTTGCAAAGAACCTGCTTAAAGATAACGATGGTAGTGATTGTAAAATATATTCCAGATTTTCAAATGTATTTCAAGGTGACAACCAACTGAAGGGTACTGACTTCAAAAGAAAAAAACTGAACGGTGGAAAACTAATGAAATTCCAAAAAGCAATTCTAATATTTATTTAAAAGCTTACTAAAAGGATCCAGAAATAACACAAGAGAAGAGGACTCTAATTATTGCACAGAGGTTGTGGGACAACTGTCTACAATGCAGCAGAGCACAGGGGCCAGGAAGCGGGCTGTGGAGTTATAATGTGTGTGGCTCACTCCTGGCCCCAGCTCTTCCTAGCAGAGCGGTCTCATTTTCGTCTCTGTTAAACGGGGTTAACACTAGTGCCCGCCTCCTGGGGCACATGGGAGGGTGTGACATACAGCATGACTACACACGAACTTAGTCTTCAAGTTACCTATTTTCTGGTTTTCCCAAAAAAGATTTAAAGTACATCAGTATGAAGAAGATTTAAATGTAGCCTGTACCCCATTCTATACAATACAAAAAAATTCAACTAAACTATGAAATAGAAAATAGACTAAGTGTTTTGTTGCATATTTATAGAAAAAAAAAGATGAGAGTCTCACTCTTGAAGAAATGGAGGATATCACAAACAAGATAGATGGGTTTAACATAAAGTGGAAAGAAAATCTTAAAGAAAACAACCAAAGTGAGACAATAATAAACATGATAGAGAAAAGTAATAAACATAATTAATGTAAAATATTATATCCAGAATATTTAAGTGAAACAAAGTCAATACCCAGATTTCCCTTAATAAGTGACTGAAGAAAAGTCATTTTCATGGGAAAATAACGACAATAAATTAGTACTAGATATAAAATCCTGCTGATAATTAGAGAAATGAAAATTAAAGTAGATAGTATTTGGAGCATGCTTTGGGTATTTCTTGTAAAACATGGTTGAGGTTATAATTAATTTCAATCACGTTCTTTGGCTTAAATTCACTATCCAAACCTGCATATTTCTTATTCTTTTAGTAGTAAACAAATAAATTGCAATAAAACTTGTAATTGAACAGATTTGCCACCAGGTGTCATTTTTGTTTAACTTTAAAACTAAATTGGGGGGAAGGAAAAGAGAGCTGTGACTTTAAGATTTATGGTAGACAGGCCCTCAGAGGGGAGAGGAATTCTATACTGGACTATAGAAGCTAAAGGTTAAAAAAAATGGCACCTTTGAGAGGGAAATGTAAACATTCTTTTAAAATTTTGTTACTTTTAACATTTAAAATGTGATAAGAATAAAATGGGGACTACATCTTTTTTCCTTTTTTGGGGGTGGGGGAGTGATGAAGATTGGCGCTGAGCTAACATCTGTTACCAATCTTTCTCTTTCTGCTTGAGGAAGATGCTCGCTGAGCTAACATCTGTGCCAGTCTTCCTCCATTTTGTATGTGGGATGCTGCCACAGCATGGCTTGATGAGTGTTGTGTAGGTCTGCACCCGGGATCCAACCTGCAAATCCTGGACTGCTCAAGTGGAACACATGAACTTAACTACGCCACTAGGCTGGCCCCGACATCTTTTGATAAATAGAACAGATAAAGATCAAGTTCAGGTTTGTATTACTGAAAAACAAAATTATGGGGGACAGAGGAGAGGAGAGAGAAATGAAAGGGAGAAAAAATGAGAACAGGAAAACCAACAGAAGAAAAGAAGTAGGAAGAAGGGATAGAGAAAAATTATATTCCTTAAAAAGAAATCACTATCATTTAACAACCACCACTAAAAATGTTTTAAAATTACAAACTCTTTCTAACACATTGCTTACATTATCTTACAATCTGTTAAGAACCTATATGCCCCCACAGGAATCAAAGTCAAGTGGACAGGCGCCACAGCTTGACACGGAAAGCGCACTAACCGGGCTTGGACAAAGACCTCAGTCACACCGTGACTGTCACAGGCCGAGTGAACCCAGCAAGTGACTTAGTCTCTCTGAGCCCATTTTAAATCTAGAAGTGGGGATAATGCCACCAACCTCAGAAAGTTTTTGTGAGACTAAAACAGTGAAAACACATGTGGCCTGGAAGATAGCAGACTCTGACTATTTTGTAAATCTGATTCTCTGTTAAACATCTAAACCTGACACTATTTCCTATTATGAACATTTTCCACTCAGGCGATTTCTCATTCGCTTACCACAGAACACCTCTTTCTTCTCTAAATCTTAACCAGATTTAAGGACCAACTTAAGACACAAAATTTATAGATCCTCTCAATGACTCTCAACACTTTTCCATCTATATTACAAGTAAATATTTTCTTTTTTTACTGGATTACACTATGACACTGTTTGCTAATTTCTTCATATATTGCAAGTCCTGTTTACCCAGTAATAAGTTCTTGGAGCTAATCTTAAATATTAAAAAAATAATAATTCTCTCATTATCTAGAAGTAATATCCATCTGTTCTACTCTTTCAACAAATGGAGCTCTGTGGAGCATCTACTGTGAATAGTCAGGGCACTGTATCAGGTGAAGTTACTGGAATAACAGGTACAGGACTCAAGTACAGATGTCAACCTAACAGAAAGCAAAGGAGAAGAGAGGCAGGAGGGAGGCAGACAGGGATGCTCAGGTGCCTCCATGGGTGAGTGTTAGCTGGAGATAAACTCTCATCACTTGGGCGGCGGCCACCAGAGTAAGTTGTCATTAATAACAAAGCTCCTGTGATTCTTACCAAGTCAAGATTTTGATAGTTTAGTAGCCAGAAAAAGAAATCTCTGAAAAGCTGATTTATTTTCTTAGAGTTTAGAACAAACCTGAGCATAGCAGTAATAGCTTATTTGCTTTTCAAATTCAGTCTCTTTTTGATATTAAAGTTGATTTAATCACGGAATCCTAAAGTTTCTGTTCATAAGACGTTTTAGAATTAGACTTTGTCTACTTTAAGGCCTGTTCACCTTTTATTTGTTTGATGAGATTAGTGTATCTGAAGGTTACATTTGGAACCAACATTTATTTTACAATTATATCCTAGTTTTTTATTTAATTGTATTTTTTGTGACACAATATACAGTGGGAGATTTTAAAAATATCAACAGATTTAAAGTGCCCAAACAGATTAAAAAGAAAAAACAGAGGAAGAAAAAGGACCAAGAAAACCTGGAATAAGTATGCCATCCCATAAACAGTGCCTCAAATTGCTCTTATTAATAAACACACTAAAACATTTACTTGGGCCATGTATTTTATGGATGGATCTGCATTTTGCAGATGAGAAAACTGAGGTTCAAAGAATTTACCCAACTGTACCCAAAGTTCAATCCTTGTCCTGTCTGATTTCCGAACCTATGTTCTTCCCACTCCGTTAACTTGTCTCTACAAGAAAGTGGAACCGGGGCTAGATCCAGCAGCTCCTGAGTAGCTTTAGCTAAACTAAGGCACCAGCCATTGGTCTCTCTCCTTGTCATAACGACTCTCCAGCTCTGGTTCTGCTGTTCCGCGTTCTCGCCCTCCCCATTTTCTCTATCTTCTCTGCTCCACTAATTACAGGTCTTACCCACAGTTCTGCCCTTGGCCCACCACTCTCTCAATCTTTAGTGATCTCATCCACAACAAAGGCTCCTACCATCACCTCTGTGGGTAATTTCAAAATCTGGGACTTTACCACTAGTTTTAATTGCCTGCTAAATATTTAGACCTGCTCAAATTGCTGGACCCTCCACCTCAACAGGACTAAAACTTAGTATACCATCAGTCTTTGCCAAATCCTTTCTCCCCTTGTCCTCCCTAATGTTTCTCCATAGTACAGGCCGGGCAAAGCCTCTAAGCAATCCTTTACTCTTTCTTTTCCTTCATCCCTCACTCATTTAGCAAAAACTTACCAGTCACCTAGATCGCTCCTTTCTTCGCTAACTCTTGATCTCATATGCCTCTCTTATCTTCCATCCAAAGTGTTATCACTCAAGTTACACTCCCACCACTACCCCTGGATGCCTAAACTATGCCGCCTCTATTCCCTCCATCTCTCCTGCACACCACTAATGGACTGATTTGACCAGTGTATTCCTCTGAGGGGGAACTTTTGCCTCAAAAGCCTTCTGTGGCTTCCCACTGTCTTGGACGTCCATCTTGGCGACCCATCCCACTTTGATATTCTCATTTTCTTCTATTCTCTTTTGTATTTTCTAAATAAACTCTAGGTAAACTTGACCTCTTGCAGTTTCCTATACGTGATGTACACTTCCTCAGTTTTATTCCTTTGCTCATTTTTTTCAGCCTAGAATGTTTTCTTTCCTCAATCTCCGCCTACTGAAATCCTACCCACTTTTTAATGCATCCTGTTCTGTGAAATCTTCTCTATTCATACTCGCCACCTTTGAACTTGTACACAAGTCTGGTCATTTTGAGGAAGGATGGTTTCTTACTTGTTTGGGGTCACCCTTCTCCCAACTCATTCAGCATGAGGTATAAAGCTTTGGGGAAAGCAAACACTCAATATATGTTTATGAAATGAGTAATGGCAGGGGAGCAGTGATGTGGAATCACCCAGAAGCCTTTTCTAATCATTATTAGGATACACCATCTAATAATTTGCCAGGATCATTTGCCTTTCTAGTTTACTTAGTTAAAAGTGAAAAAAAAAAATCTCTGTCCCTGATGCCTACTGGTGGTAGAGGGAGGAACTCTGAAGTTCTCTTGAGTCGTAGCAGAAGGCTGTCTAGAATTTACAAGTTTTAGCATATAACTTAACTGAATACCAGTGAATTAACTATTTTTTAAAGGTTGAGGCCAGCACATGTCTTCTGTATAAAATTGCTCTTTAAGTAACCTTCAGAAGAGGGAAAATATCTTATGCAGACCCATAAACAATCTGGTCTGCAATGCCCTAGACAAAGCCACAGTGCTTCAGAGCTGAGAGCACCTCGATGGAACACTACTGATGGGAATTCTAGTCCTTCAAATAATAAGAATGGTTGGGAGACTCATGCATTTCCGTCTCTGGCTACCTCTAAAGGAAGCTAAAAGGAAAAAATCCTGGGTCTACTGTTTCTTGGAAGAAGTTGAAGATTCTGTTTTATCCTGGCTTTTCCAAGACTTTTCCTAAGATGAAAGTATATTTTATTTACTAATCCAATGACTCTCAAATGTCTCCTATGTAAGTAAAAAATGATTCTTCTAATTGACTAAAGTCAAGACGGCAAAAGTAGCACAACTGCGACATGGCGTGGCGCGCTGGCGAGGAGGGAAGCAGTCATCAGGGCTTCGAAAGTGAAAGGACAGGCATCGCCTTTCATGTTTCGGTGACGGGAAATCTTGCTTAGATTCCAGAGGTTTCTGTATTCCCTTTAATCGACTATTTCAGAAGTTTCCAGTCTGGAGCCAGAACCAGAGGTTGCAGACAGAAGCCAACTCACGTGAATTCTGCCGTCTTTGATGGCAGGGCCCTCCTCAGCAAGACGCAGGATGAAGAGCCCCATGTTGTACTCCTTCCCCCCGCGCAGGCTGAACCCAAAGCCCCGGGGGCCTCGCTCCAGCTCTACTGGGTAACAGCCAAGGCTCTGGAGAAAAAGAAGTGTAAGAAAAACGAGTTTGCATGGACTGGTTTCTTTACAGTTTGAAGAAAGACTACTTTTATAGCTGAGAGAAATTATTTATACTCTCAATATGCATTTCTGTATAAGGAAGGGACATAAGTTTTGGCTGAAGGGCTTCTTAATTCTTATAAATGCAGCTAAATTAATCTGAAGATTAAATGTCTTCTCTACTAGTTGGTCAATGTGCAACAGATCAGAGAACACAATTTTGGAAACTGCTTCCTTTAGGTAGATTTTGACTAATTTTCCTGAAAAAAGAAAAAACCAAAAAAGCCAAACCATACTTTGATTAACTCAAACAGTGCTATTTCTAAGTACTTAACCAAAGATTCAAATTTCTCCAACTATAACGTAAACTCTTCTTTAACTCTTTACATTCTCCCATGGAAGCTAAGAGAACACCAAACACACAGTAGGTCCTCAAGAACTATTAATTTGGAGAACAAATTTATCTGAACTGATTTGCAATAAAAATTCACCAGTGTAGATGATTCAGCAACTGAAAATAACCATCCGCATCTGGGGGATATTTGTTTACCTGGTTGTGCCGACTGCCCACAACTGAAATCATTGCGGTGTCAGGCTGTGCAAGGGGCTTGTGGTCAGACCAGGAATGTCTATAAGAAGTGGAGACGTCTTTTCCAATTTCACCTTCTAGGGCACTTCTACAAGAGAGAAATCAAGTCACTCTCTGAGCTGAGAAAATGAAAAACAGTCTTAAAGTAAAAGCACATTAATTTCTTTTCTTTTGAAAGCTGAACTTTGCCATTCTCCCTCTGAAAAACTGCTATAAAGACACACTGTGTCTAGAACCAGGGAGATGCTAGACAGAAGCCTGGTTGTGAATTCCAGCAGAACTTAAAGTCTGTCAACATCCGCATGTTGTTTTGTTTTGCTTTGGTTTCGGTTTGAAGGGTGTCTCAGTCCAGTTTACATCAAGGAAAACCACACTCAAGTAACCGAACCAGAGGGTACATAAGCTGACCTTGTCACTTACATGACAAGCTGACAAAGTAAAAAATGGTTCTCCTACAGCACCAACACCTGTGCAGATGCATTCTGGAAATCTAGAAATTTATGGCTAACATTTACAACAAAAGAGGAAATATGTACAAATACTACTCTGCTCTACTCAGGTAGTCTGAGAAGACGGCAATCCACGTGGGTCTGGGGCTTCCCTGCCAAACTCATGAGGACCAAGAGGAGCAGAGCCAGATGCTACGGTCACTTCTTTCTAATCCCCACTTGTCAGGCTTGATTGGAGAATTACGCTGTGCCCTGGGAGGGGGCTGGGAAGAGGGATGAAGGTATTGAGAGAGTGGAAGGAATAGGGAAGGTATTCGAGGGTGGAAAATGCAAGAGTTCTCATTTTGACCTCACCAGCTGGCTTCTGCATAACTGTGTGGGGGAAGAGGGTGGGGAGGGTAGGAGATGAAGAGTGGGAAGATGAGGAGAGAAAAAACCCAAAAACTGAGAAGAACAACCCTACCTGTCCCCAGGTATGTGGTTGGCTTGTGACTGTCCCATGGGCCTGTGCTGCAGGGCTGGGCTTTGCCTGGCTGAGTTTGTTCCTGATGGTGGCCCATGATGCTCTGTTCAAATGAGAAAATGATAGAAATATGAATTTGTCCATACAAGTGTGAAGGCCAAGTGGGTCTATGAAGGTGAGATAATAACAATGGTTACTGCTTTACTGACTTTAGTGACTTTAGCATGCACAGCACTGTTGTCCACCGTCTGGAATTGGAAAATTAACATCTTCTTCCCTGTGGCTTTGATTAATGTTTATGTTTGAAGAGAATAGGAATCATATTCTTACTGTACACATTTTCTCTCTTCCACCTTTATTTTGGTCATCCATACAACATAAAATCAGAAATGAACATACTCAATAATTATCATTATCTAGAGGACAGAGCTTCAGGAACTGTCCTGTGGCCTATTCCAGAGCGCACTGCACTCCCCACAGCTGGTAAGCCACACTGGATGACAAAGCTGGGTCTCAGGAACCCGGGACCACAGAGGCCAATGTACAGACGACACACATTATCTTCGAACCCGCATCTTTAACACAGGAGCAGCTATTCTGCCTGACACTGAATAGCAAAGACAAACTTATTACTCTGAGCGTTGACAAATGTTTATAAAGATTTTAACGCTTCTCTTTTCTAAGAGCACAAATACAGGTGAGAAAAGTAACATCTGTTCCTGTTTCACTCCCAACAGCTCCAGATCTGCCGTTGTTCCTTGAAGGCGGATTTCATAACCAAGCACAGTGAGCGCTGCATCCAGAACTGGATGGCAAGTCACGGGAGATGACAGTTAAGAGACTCTTAGGCTGTCAGACTCATTTTTTTAAAGCTGAAACTTTCCATTGTTTCCTCCTATCCAAATATCAGACATAGAAAATATCAGAGAGAGGAGCATAGCTTAGTGATTAAGACCATGAACTCTGGGGCAAGACTGACTGGGTTTAAGTCTGACCCCATCATTTACTAACTGTGTGTTCTTGGGCAAATTACTTAACTTCTCTGTGCTTTTAGTCATCTCACCTATAAAAACGGAATTATAGCAACCCCATGGGGTTACTGTGAGTATGAAATGAGCTTATAAGGTACATGCTTAGAACAATGCCTGGCATATTATACTCACTATATAAATGTTTCTATTATATTATCGTTATTGTCATTATAATCATCAAAATGATAGTTTTATTTGGGGCTATATTTCTCTTAAAGTGTACATTCTGAAATATTTACCTAACTTAGCAAAAATGTCCAATGTAGAGGCCATTTTAGGTTAGAACATGTGGAAACTGATATAAACTGAATCTCAGAATATGTATGTAATTACTTAAGAAAAAGTGTATTACCAGAGGATAAACTCAAAATCCCATAGTTAAAACATAGTGACTAACATTATAATTTGGGAATCATCTTTACCAAGAATAAATAAGAACCTTATGAGAGAACTTTGTAAAACTCTATTAAAGGACATAAAAAAATGATCCAATAATTGGAGAGATATCCCATGCTCTTAGATGGGATGATTTAACATTAAAGGTATAAATTTTCCCAAAGTTAATATATATTCAATATATCCCAATAAAAATTACAGTTGGATTTTTTGGAGGTTAGTAATTTGCTCTAAAATTGTATATGGAAAAGTTTCATGAATATCTAGTCAATTTAAAGTGTGTGTGTAGGGTGCCCTGCCCTGGTAGCCTCGTGGTTAAGACTGGCACACTCCACTTCAGCAGCTCAGGTTCAGTTCCTGGGTGCGGAGCTACATGACTCGTGTGTCAGTGGCCATGCTGTGGCAGCTGCTCACATACAAAAAGAGGGGGATTGGCAAAAGATGTTAGCTCAGGGCAAATCTGCCTCAATAACAACAAAAAAAAGAATTACAAAAAAAAAAGTGGGGGGTGGGGTGGGGAGTTGGAGAATGACTTGCCTTGACAGAGATTAGGATATACCACAGATAAAGGTATATTTCCAAAGTGTGTGTGTGTGTGTATATATATACTTTAAAATATATATTTTTGTGAATATATATACTTAAAATATATATAACATATATATTATTGTGAAAAATATATATAAATTAGCCCAAGAACAGATAAATCAATAGAACAGAATAGAGAGCGTGGAGTTTCATATTTAAAGGGGAAGTTAATATACTGAATAGATGGCTCCACATATATAATTCACAAGGAACCTCTAAATATTAATAAGAAAAAGACAGAAATCTTACAAGAAAAATGAGTAAAGGATATGAAAAGGTACTCCACAAGAAGAAAACAAAAACAAGCATCTGAAGAGATGCTCAAATTTATGGGTAATCAGAGAAAGGAAAATTAAATGGCAATGAGATGACGCTTTCCATACTTTAGCCATTTCAAAAGCTGGATAATGCCAAGTACTGGCAGGTAAAGGTATAGGGGTCTTCAGTGATCTGCTGGTGGGAGTGTAGACGGATCCAGCAATTATGGAGGACAATCTGACAGTACTCAGTCAAATTAAGCACATGTATACATACACTTTGATCAAGCAATTTCACTGTAAGAAATTCTCACACTGTTTTATAAGGTACATATATGAGGGTGTATCAGGATAGTTTGTGATACAGTAGAACTGGAGACAACGTGGCTGTCTATGGGGGAGTGGACAGCTAATGTGTAGTAAATACACATTACAGAAAACTCAAGCAGTTAAAAGCAATCGATTATGTTCACCCAGAAACATGGATAAATCTTAAAAGAACCTGACGCTGTGATACCAAAAGCACAAGCAACCAAAGAAAAAACAGATGAACTGGACATCATCAGCATGAAACTATGTGCACCAGAGGCCAGTGTCAAGAAAGTGAAAAGACAACCTGCAGAATTGGAGAAAATACTTGCAAACCATGTATCTGATAAGGATCTTGTATCAGAATATATAAAGAAGTCTTATAATTCAACAATAAAAAAAGACAACCCAATTAAAAGTGAGCAAAGGATTTGAACAGACATTTCTCCAAAGAAGATATACAAATGGCCCACAGCACGTAAAAAGTCACTCAACATCATTAGTCATCAGGGAAATACAAATCAAAACCAAAATGAGATACCACTTCACACTCACTAGAATGGCTAGAATAAAAGACACACACACACTCACTACACACTACACGCATCAGAGAAAATAAATGTTGGAGAAATTGGAAGCCTCATCCATTGCTGGTGGAAATAGAAAATGGTGCAGCTGCTGCAGAAGACAGTCTGACAGTTCCTCAAAACGTTAAGCACAGTTACCAAATGAGCCAACAATTCCACTCTTAGGTACATACTCAAGAAAGTGAAAACATACATCTATAAAAAAATCTGTACACCAATGTTCATAGCAGCATTATTCACAATAGTAAAAAAACCCCAGAACAACCCAAGTGTCTATCAAATGATGAATAGATAAGTAAGATGTATATATACATAAGAGTATTATTCATTAATCATAAAAAGGACATGCTACAACATGGATGAACATTCTGCTAAATGAAAGAAGCCAAACACAAAAGGCCACATACTGTATAATTCCACTTATATGAAATGTCTAGCAAATCCATAGAGACAGACAGTAGATTAGTGGTTTCTTGTGGGGGTGATAAAATGTTTTGGAATTAATGGTGATGGTTGCACAACCTTGTGAATATGCTGAAAACCAGTGAATTGCGCACTTTAAAATAATGAATTTTATAGTATATGAATTATATCTCAATTAAAAAGAAAAAGACATGACAATTAAATGCCACAGAAGGATTAGATTCTGGAACAATAAAGTGACATTAAAAGAAAAAAGCATATGAATTGGGAAAAAATATTTACAAGCCACTTATCCGACAAAGGGTTAATCTCCATAATATACAAAGAACTCACACTGATTAACAACAAAAAAACAAACAACCCGATCAAAAAATGGGCAGAGGACATGAACAGACATTTCTCAAAAGAAGATATGAATATGGTCAATAGACACATGAAAAGATGTTCATCATCGCTAATCATCAGGGAAATGCAAATCAAAACTACACTAAGATATCACCTTACACCCGTTAGATTGGCAAAAACATCCAAAACCAAGAGCGACAAATGTTGGAGAGGTTGTGGAGAAAAAGGAACCCTCATACACTGTTGGTGGGAATGCAAACTGGTACAGCCACTATGGAAAACAGTATGGAGATTTCTCAAAAAGCTAAAAATAGAAATACCCTATGACCCAGCCATCCCATTACTGGGTATCTATCCTAAGAACCTGAAATCAGAAATCTCAAGAGTCCCTTGCACCCCTATGTTCATTGCAGCATTATTTACAATAGCCAAGACGTGGAACCAACCTACATGCCCAGAAACTGATGATTGGATAAAGAAGATGTGGTATATATACACAATGGAATACTACTCAGCCATAAAAAAAGACAAAATTGGCCCATTCACAGCAACGTGGATGGACCTCGAGGGTATTATGTTAAGCGAAATAAGCCAGTCAGAGAAAGACGAACTCTATATGACTTCACTCATAGGTGGAAGTTAGTATATTGATAAGGAGATCTGATCAGTGGTTACCAGGGAAAAGGGGGGGTGGGGGGAGGGCACAAAGGGGGAAGTGGTGTACCCACAACATGACTAACAAAAATGTACAACTGAAATCTCACAAGGTTGTAATCTATCATAACATTAATAAAAAAAAAAAAGAAAAAAAGAAAAAAAAAGAAAAAAGAAAAAAGCATATGGTTCTGAGAAAAAAATTAAGAAAATCTATAACAATACCATTTATATAACTCAAAAATACATGCCAACACATACAAAAATATGTATTTTAAAAACAAAATGAGGCACATACAACACACTGGAATGGTTGCCAGTAGAAGTAGGGAGAGAAATAAGAGTGGAAAATGGAGACAAATGGCAACAAATGGATAAATAAATGGAACACAAAACAAATAAAAAATTACAGCCACACTACCAGAACCATTCTAACATAGTCCTTGGTAGCCTTTGAAAACTTGTATTCACTCTTAAAAATGAAGTAAACAAGACCTGACACATAATTAGAAATCAACTTTGAAAAATAATACAATTTAAAGACTTGTTTAAGCAAGGACAACCAGGCATCATCAATTTATGTTCTATACTTGAGAAGAAGACGCCACGGTGGTGGGAGAGGCGGTCGTGTAGTGGGGAATGCCATGGGACAGAGATGAATGTTTGCGAGCTTTATACCAGACATGATACTTGGCTTGGGAACTTGGTTAGCCATTTCCTTGGGAAAATAAGCACAAATACTAAATAGTATCTAGCAAAAGGGGAAAAAAAGGATGAAGGGAACATGTTTTTCTTTACCTATTAATAGTGAATGGCTTATGGAGAGTAGGCGAGCAGGATTAGATGGGAAGTAATACAGCTCTGAGGTATTGATCTGAACGTGTGATTTCTGAAAATAGCTCTAGAGAGCTATAAATATTCATTTGACTCTTTAGTGCAATGGATAGATTTTATACTGAATAAAATGAAAAACCTGGAAGACTTACAAACTCCATGAATGGGATTTTTATAGACAGATGAGATGCTATTTTTTCCCCGAGAAAAAGAAGAAATTCTGAATGTTTCCATAGTTTAATAAAACAGAGTACACTAAAACAAGGTGTAATCACTGAAATGTGATTTTACATGTTAAATGTGATTGTATCTTAAGAGGCTGTGCCTACAGATGAAATACACTTTAATGTGTGTATCTGCTACCCTTCCACCTTCTGTTTTTCTTAAACACTGACTGCCATGATATAGGAATGAGTACGTCTGGAAGTATTTGGGCCAGAACATCAAAGTTAACTTTTATTCTAAGAAAAACAACTGAGCAATTTTGGACAACCTCTCAGAGAAAACACCATCAACAATAAAGGGTAATTTTGGGGAAAAAAATTATACTAAGAGAAAGAAGAGGTGTTTCTACTACTGAACTATCTCAAGGCTAATCACATGGTTCTTGGGTCAATCAGCAAGAAGACGCGTACAGATACTGAGTGAGCATTTAGAAAATTTTATAATGATCTGACAATTTTATGTCTTTTTAAAAATTTTTTGTTTAATTTTTGTTGTATTTCACAAAAATGCTAGTTTGCGATGGATTGGAAAAAAGCCACCAGTCCCTTTCTATAGATGGTGTGAGAGACACTGATCCATACTACTGCTAGTTCCACTACTTCTAGCAGCTTCTCTCACTACTGCACACCAAGCATGGCGAGAGAAGTGCACTACATACGTCCTTCTCAGAACAACCCTAAAGTGTTATTTCCTGTGGCACTGAGGCCTGCTTTTGGGGTTCACAGAACAAAGAGAAGGCCAAAAAGCAGGGTATAGAGATCATGGTAAAGAAACCGAGATAAAGAAACCTGGCCAAAATCACATTAAGTAACAATAATGCTTCAAAATTTTTATGGAGCACTTACATGTGCCTACATTGTTTTAGACCCTTGGGATTTAGCACTGAACATGACAAAATCTCTAACTTCATGACTTTACATTCTAGTGGGAGAGATGACAATAGACAAATAAACTAAAGTTCAATGATCTCGGGTAGAGCTAAGAGCACTGAAGAAAAGTAAAGCAGGGTGAGGGACGGAGAACAGGGGCAGGGGGGAGTGTTACTTCAGACACTGTGGTTAGAAGGCATAGCAGGAAAGGGCGCAGATTCTGGAGCCAGACTGCCTGATTCAAACACTGTTTCTGTCACTAGTTTTATGACCATGGGCAAGTTATCTAACTGCTCTGTGACTCAGTTTCCTTCTCTACAGGACAGGAAAATAATAGTGCCTGCTTAGGATTAGCGTGAGTATTAAATGAGTTAACAGACATAAAGTATTTAGGACAACATCTGCCACATAGTAAGTGCTTACTAAATATTATGATCATTTCCTTAGCAGTGACATTTAAGCAGAGACCTGAACGAGGCAGCCAGCCATGCAGGGATGTGGTAGAATAATGATGAGCACCTTAGGGTATTTATGCAAGTTATGTACTTTTTCACCTTTAATTTCCACAATGACCCTGAAATAGATATTATTATTCCCATTCTGTAGATAAAAAACTGAAGGGTAAAATGTTAAGTGGCTTGTTTAAGGTCATACAACTGGCTAACAGGTGTCAGTGATCCCTGTCTGTCAGAAGCTGTACATCTTCTGTTGGGTTCATCCCGCCTCTGCCAGGCATCGGCACAGAACTCAAAGTCTCCTGACTGACTTTGTTTACTCATTCAGTCATTCATCCATTCATCCATTCCTTCATTCAAAAAATATTTACTGAGGACCTGCTAACTATCATAGTCAATTGATGATGTTTTCTTTGTCTTCAAAGAGCAGACCATTGTAACAGGGAGACGGTTATTTAAGAATAGACTCAATGAATCGCAGAGATAAGGAGTGCTGTGGGATTTAGCGGGAGGAAGCCCATGTGCACAGACGCCAATGACGCCTAGCCCAAGAGAGGGTTTGGAAAGAACATCGGGAGGTAAATTTAAAAGGCAGGCTGGGAGCAAAATCATAAAACACTTTCTGTGCAGAAAGTGGGGGAAAACTGGGGGTTCCACTGAGGAGGATTTTAGAAGGAAGAACCAGCAGAGCCTGGGCAGCGTGTGGGACAGACTAGACAAGGGAAAAGAGCAGAGGCAGGGGCGCCACAGGTCCTAGAACTAGAAAGGGTCTCAGAGAGCAGCCACTGTGAACTCGTGTCCACGTAGAAATAACTCCTATGGGATCTCAGACAGAAAGGACATTTACGTAATACCTTAGAGAAAAATGTGTAAGAAGGGTGCAGTAGGAAGAGAAAAGAAAAGACATATCAAGAATACTGAAAACTGACTAGATTAGAGAATCATGCGGGGAAATGGGACATGAATACACATTATAATACAAGGAATTTTAACATGAAAGACTGACCCTTCATAATTCTGCTGTTTTTGGTTTCTCCTCATTAGTTTTGCAAAATCAGGAAAAATGCGAAGAGCATTATGTAATGGTTACCTTGTAATTCATAAACAAAGAACATGAACTGGTGCTATTCAAAATGATTCCTAATTAGAAATTCTTAATGATCAAAAGGCAGCTTTAAAGCAAGGCAAGACACTAAGTGCGTTTTATGCCCTATTTACTGGCCATTCCTACACATTCTCTTGCCCCCACTTACAAAGCAGCCGCCCAGAACAAAGTCCCGCCCCAGGGACAGGCACACTGTGGCATGAGCCTGACAGGAAAGGCCTGATATCCACAGCGACTTTCTTTGAACTCTTTAGAGCATTTTCTCTCACTCAAGCAGAGACTTAATACATTATTTTAAGAAAATAAGATCTGAAAGGTATTACCAATCTCTTTCACTTCTGGGTGCTTGCTTCTATGGCACATCAATAAACGGCCACCATTCACTAGCTGGATTATTTTTCTTGAGCGACTGACAACTTTATAATAAACTGCCTTTTAAATTCATTAAATGGAAAAGGCAAAAAATGAGGCTCGTGGCTATATAAAGGTTCCATCCCTGCAGGGATGCTGGCAATGCTGGAGGAAGCCACTGCCGCCTGCAGGCTCTGTGCCTCTCTGACCGGCTTGGGGAAGGCAGGTCCACTGTGTCCTTACCTTCGTCAGCAACGACCGTGAGTGTGACCGTGATGCCGGCATCTTTGATCAGCTGAACAATGCTATCGTGGGACAGTTCAATAATGGACTGCCCGTTCACCGCAGAGATATGATCTCCAACTTTCAGTTTTCCACAGCGATCAGCTGGACTTCCTTCTATGACTCGGCCAATTTTATGAGGAATAACTATGGGAAAAAAATCCCCAGGTTTTTCAATTATTTAAGATACCTGTTAGTGTTGGATTTATCATCTTCATCATTATTTTCAAAATTCAACATAATAACATCAAAGAAAATTCTTTAAAAAAAGCAAAAGAAGCACCACATGTGATTGTCCTATCTAAATGTAACTATTTTCATATTTTCTTCCACTTTTTTGCCCATATGCATACTCTTTTATATAGTTGTAAGCATAGCATATAAACTTCTTTGCTGTTTTCCACTTACCATAAACCTTTTTCCAATTTTATAATGTCATCCTAATAATTCTGTTTCAAGGCCACTGACCTCACTGATAATTATGACAATATCTCACTGACCGGATGTTGCTTGTTTGTTGTTGGCCCATTCAGGCTGCATCATGTTTTTGGCTATTTTAGAAACTGCAGAAATGAAGCTATCTTTGGTTCTGTAGAAGGGGCATTTACTCCCACAAGGAACCTTGTAAATAAATGCAGTTCACACTCAAGCTTAGGACTCAGAAGTGACTGGTCAGAAATCCAGGTTCAGTGAAACGACTGACCCTTAAAATGAATCATACTTGGTTCTATAGCAAAATTAATTCCTTTTACTTATGCCTTTTGATCTTTTTAAAATTAGAAAAGCTGAGTGGAATTGGAACATTAAATGTTTAATGTTAAAATTATTTGGTTCATGGATAAAATGCTACCCTGGACGCACAAAGCGGAGTCAAAGCCATTTGCAAAGCCACTCCGCACAGTTCTATTACAACTCTCGCTTGTGATGCTAAAGGCTGTAATAGGCTAACGATTAAGACCCTTCGCTGTTATTAAGGCTTAAAATGAGTTCTCAGGCATTCAGGAAATCTTGTCAAAATATCTTTCACCATTTAATAAGGGGCATTCTATTAAGAAACAAATGTTCCTTCCACGTTTTCTGAGAATTTCCTTACTTAGGTCAGTAAAGTTATCAGGCACTTGGGCTCCTGCTGACTACTGATTGTTATGAATAGGGATAATTAATATTTTAAAGTGGCACTGTGATTATGTTTAATTTCCATTGTCAAATGGGCTCCTTACTAGTATTTCTGAGTCATATCTAGGTGTATGTTAGGGACATTTTAATAAACCTTCATTTGGACTGGAAGTTATTCTTGGCTGTGATTTATGTCCCCACAGACGGTGCCATTCCTTGGCTCTTCTGGGTTTATACAGTGAGAAATTTTATCTTAAAGCAGAGGAAGTCAGTGCTGGAAGCAAGTGCCTTTTAGCTCTGAATTATATCAAGTACTTATTATACCATTTTTCTTACAAACAAAGTGATCAGAAAAGCACCAGAGTAGTGTAGGCTGTGTCCTGTGCCAGGCAGAGGGAGCTGATCACTGAGAGACAAGAGGTGGACATCACAAATATAAGGTAAATCACACAGGGGCCCTGTGGCGGCCGTCCAATCACACCCTAGTTCCTCTCCTCTTAGAGAAGATTTACTTGTCTACAGTGTTCACTCTAGCTCCCCTGAGAAGAACATCGTTCCCCTCCCTGGCACACTGAAAGGGGTTTGTTCAGACTTGGGAAAGTACCAAACTGAATTAACCTCTGAAGTCTCAGTCGTTCCTTTCTCATCATGTGAACAATGTGGCCAAAAGGAATTGGCAAATCTTGGTACAGAACTTCCCGAAGGGTTAATTATCTGGGTGACGGAAGGCAAAAGCGTCTTGGCATTTATAGTAGTACCACCAAAACAGTTAAAAATGACAAGTAGAGCGGTAGAAAGATACCTTGTGAACATTCTCTGAAGGGACTGGGAAGTTCTCAAGGTAACCCCCTAGAGTGCACACAGCTGAGGAAACGACTGAAGTCCTGCCTTGTTGTTGTTGCATACAAAGTCCATAGGCATTGGCCATAAATTTATCGGTCTGCATTCATCTTTGGCCTAAATCTGTCCCTCAGACTGGCCTGTCCAGCTGCTGAGATCACTTTAGTGCTCTTAAAACATTTCTTTTCAGGAAAAGAAAGAACAGTAACTGGAAATGTCCCCTTCTCAAAGAAATCCTTTGCAACCCAAACTGACAAGTACAAAGAAAGAGAAACACTAAAACGTCTGAAGTACTGGAAAAGCAAAAGCTAGCCAAGTCCTTTTGATCTTAAATATAAGTCCAAGTATTCCATTCATTTAGCACTTATATACACTGGGTCCAGCACGGTAAGGATGCTGGGCCAGCATCCCTGATCCTGGAAAAAGTCAACAGCAGAGAATCTCAGAATTTCATAACTGGTATTAGAGATGCTACTGGGAACTCTTCTTGTGACAAATGTCACCAGAAAACGCATTTAATCAGAAGGAAAAAGTAATCTATACTGAGCAGAATACCAATCTATATAACAAGACAAGGTCCATAAAGAATGATCGGTTCTCACAAACAGGTTTCCTGCCTTTTCTCTGTTACGCAGTTTGCGGCAATTGCTCAGTCTCTGAGTGAAAGCTCGTCAGCCAAGCTCACCCCACGACCCTTCTTCTATCTCTAGGAGATGAATGGAGTTCCGAGAAGAACGCCTGCAGGGCTCGCCATTTTGTGAGATGATTAACTAGCATTTCAGTGAAATTATCAATTCTGGTTTCACACCATGACTGAAAATCTCAAGTACTTTATATAAAATTCATTGACAACCTAAGCCTAATTTGCCATTCAGGCTGCTAATTAATGAGCTGCAAACACTCATTTCCTGCCAAACATTAGCGGGTGCCTCAATCTTACATTTTAATTGGGCTTTCTTTCCCATCTCATTACTCAAGTATTGATAAACTTTTAAAAGTTTCTTTAAAAAAAAAGATCAAGAGACAGTGACAAACAATTTTATAAATAACAATGATGATAACAGCAGCAGAAGCTACAACAAGCATCAACAACTAACATTTATTGAAGGTCCAGGCTGAGGGCTTCACATGCATTATCTCTAATCCTTAAAACTCATATGAGACAGGAAGTGTTATCATCATCCTCATTTTACAGAGGAAACTGCGGTTCTTGGAGGGTAAGTAATTTGCCCAAGATGAGACAGAGACTAAAAGACATAAGCAGGGCTTGAATCCAGGTTTGTCTGATTACAAAGCCCAACATTTAATGACACTATCTTATACAGAGATCTACCATCTATGGTACACAAAACCATCAAAATAGTAAGAAATAATTTAAATAAATAAGCATAAAAATATTTTAAAATTTAGTGTAAACAAATAAATATGCAAATAAAAAGAATATATTTAATGTATATTAAAATGTAGCGATACAAATTTTAAATATAAACAAATAAATATAAAAATAATGTTAAATGTATTTAAGTAATGCAACTTATTTTACTGAAGTCCTCTATATCACTTATATCACTTAGTTTTATGGTGAACACTAGATTTTCCCCTAATTTGTGTAGTGCTAGAAAAGGAATATCTTCTATATACAAAGTGGTTAGCATCTATCACACTGAGTAATCATCTTTCACTATTTTTGTTAATCTGAATGCCTAGATTATTATATAGTATTAGAATGAGAATATGATTATCTAAAACAGTTATTTGTTTTTGGAAATAATGATTTCCAATGATACAACATAAAATCCACCTAAAATCTGCTTTCTTTCATTTTTCTGACACAGGCCACATAATCATCCTCACAGCATCAGTGACAGTTCCAGTTCTCAATGTTACCATAGCAACTGCTTTTGGAAAATGGAAACTAGTATCAGTGAGCAGTGACCTGACACTATAGTAATAACTCACCCATGTCAGAGAATCTTCTTCCTTTACACACTTGCATTAATTTTAGAAGGTTTTTGCAAATTGGTTTGGCTCACAATTTTCTGAAAGTGTTCTCTCTTTTGACTAAGGTCTTAGTGATGATCTAGTCTAAGAGGATCTCACTACCCATGATATAATCAAATCCACCAGCAAAGGCAAGAGCACACTTTCATGTGGTCAAAGATTTTTATCATTTTGACTTGGGAAAATGAAGTTACCAGACAAGCATGATACATAAAAATCAATTTGCTAGTTCTGATCTTATATTCATTTGGATTTCATAATTATATTTAAAGATGATTATTTCTTAGAAACATCAAGACAAGACAAATATTTAATTTGCTGAATCATAACAGCCCTGAACATACTAGACATAACTCCTCCCTTACGGAGGGAATTAACACATACATTCATCTTTCCGAGATGAGAAAATTCTGTTGACTGGGTGCAGGATATTTAGATTAATTTTTAAAAGTTCTAACAAAATTTTTACCTTTCACTGAAGCATATATGAAAGGTAAGAATGCTTCTTATCATTCAAGGTCACTTGATAGCTGGAATATGGCAATTATCATTAAATAATAGGAAAGGACTATTTAAGACATATTTGGGTCAAGACTTTTCTATTAATCTGTTTTGCTTCTTCTCAACTGCTTCCAGCATTTAATTCATTTCTCCAAATTAAAAGAAAAAAACCTATGCCCCCATATTTTAAAAAATTCAGCATTGTCTTCACTACGTCTATTAGGCCACGTCCCTGATATATTGCCACAATATAATCTTGACACAAACTGAGCTAACTAAGACTGAGATGATAGATAAACCTGAAGCCTGGAAGTTTGGGTTCAGATTACCTAAGTTTGACAATAAAGAAAATCTTCATCATTCTTAAAAAGATAAGTCTTTAAGGCAATTTATACATAATTCCTAAATAGTTTCATAAACCCCAGGGAGAGACTCAGAAAACTGAAATTGCAGGGAGGGACAATGGGATACAGTAGCCCTTACCTCCTGGAGGTGGTTTGCTTTTGGAGGTGAGGATGACAAAGCCAAATCCTTCATTTTCTTTTCGTTGCAAGACAACATCATAGGCCTCCTGGGGAGCAGGCCTGGCGGGGATCTCTGCTCGGTTCAGGCGGGGAGATCCATTCTGTGTTGAAATGAAGGCTTGAGAGCTGTCATCCTCAAGTTGTTTCTCTATAATAAACATCAATTTTGATATTTCTGGAACATCATAATTTTTGATAACTGACATATTTTTGTGCTAAGCCTCTCACCAGAAAATTTAGTTTCTAATAACAAAGAATAGAAAAGCAGCGCCCCCCACACACGCTCCAGACATAATCTGAGTGCAGATAGAGGCAGCATCAGTCTGTCTGACTTCTTAGACACTCTCAAAGTATATAACTGGAAAATACACAATGTTATCTTACTTTAAAGGAAGTTTTTGAAAGCTTCTGTGAAATTTGATAGTAAAAAAATTCTTCTTGAAATCGTTTTAATTCCAGCAAAGTTTTTAACCTTGACTAGTAACTTTAACAAAAGTAGATAATAAGAAATGACGCAGTAAACTTCCTTTTAAAATCAACTTTAAATATAATTTAATGCAGTGACTGACATCTGTGACGTCTGGGAGGTCACTGCATCCGGACAGGCTGCTGCCCATTATAGGTTGAGAACAGTTTGCCATCTACACAGGATGTGTCCTATACAATGTGTTTACAACTTCAGTCTCCTGAGTGATGACAGCAGATGAGTTAACCATTAGCCGAAGTCCGCGCCCCAGTATATAACAAGTTGTCCACATGAATAGCAAACTCTCCTAGGCATAGACTGGGTCATATGGCATTCCCAGAAACGGGGCAGTTAACCTACACCTTTTTCTCCTATTCAAGGATAACATTAGAACTTGAGGAAAAATGACACAGTCATAATTGATTTTTTTAAAAAGGCAAATTTTGTGCTATAATTTGATACAAACCATCATTAACAACCACAACATACTGCCATCAAGAAATATGCATATATAAGGTAACTTTATATAAAGTACATATATAAGGCACAAAATCCATATGATTCTGAGACTATGTTTTAGAATCTCAAAAAGTGCCACCAACATCCAATCACTAATGAAAAATAAAGGATCTCTGTTGGTATCATGCATGGTTAGAATGAAATGGCTAAATGCCTCCAAAATATCAAACTACTAGGAAACTTCTTCATGATCTTTTCCGGGACACAGCCAACCTCTAAGTTGTATAAGATCACATTTTTTACTGTATGTGGTTATGTTCTGACTCCAGCACAACCAAACAGAGGCATTAAAATGGTATGCATCTTTAAATGCCTGCTGTTTACAAAGAGAGGCAGGCTACTTTGGATGCTCCAATCAAAAACTCAGTGCCTCCTTTCAAGAGTAATACAAATATTCCTCAAGTCAACAACATTTACTGATGTCCACGCAGTGCCAGGCAGGCACTCTTCTAAATGCTGGGGATATAGTGGATAATGAAATGGATAAATACCCCAACTTTCATGAGGCTCAGATTCTTGTGCTATAGGGTTGTTTTTTAAAATTTTAAAGTGGCAATAATTCACTTCTAAAAATTCCTATTTAATATTCCCAAAGCTATGATGAGAAAAATGTAAGAGAGAATCATATCCTAGTGTAATGGTTTAGACCCCGGGCTCTGTAATTAAACTGCCTATTTTAATCCTGGCTCTACTACTTACCAGCAGTGTGTCTCAATCTTTCTGTGAGTAATTGTAAAACTAGGTAATGACAATATTTACATCATGGTTTTGTAAAGATTAAGTAAAAGAATACATATGTCCGGGACATAGTAAGCACTCAATAAACACTAAATCATACTAAAACTTCTCAAGTAGAAACATTCTGTCCTCTTTGAATATTTGGGATTCCATCATGATCCAAAAATCTTTTGAAATTCAGCTAATGGAATATCTTGGTATGACTAAATGTGTATTTGTTTTTAAGAAAATAGATTTAACCTGATACTCCCATCTACAACACCACAGTGGGAAAATGTATCAATATATTAATATAATCTTAATATAGAGGCCCAAAACTTATTTCTCTTTTTTTGATAGTAGTATTATTTCTGGATCCTTTTGACCTTACATGGCCTTCCACACTGAGGCCATGGATCACACCAAATGGGTTATCTCATACACTATTAAACATAATAAACTAACCTGCAAAACCACATAGAAAATGGACTAAGTCTCTTTGTTTCTTCTTTAACTTATCAGAGGAGGAAGAGGTTCACATACCCCCACAGAAGATCCTTCTTCTGACGGTTAATAGCACGTGGCCATTTCGAGCAGCAGTGGTCATCAGGTCTAAGACTTGTTTGTGCGATTTCCCTTTAACAGGAATCCCATCAATGCACATCAGTTCATCAGCAGCCCGGAGCCGACCATCCTTCTCAGCTGCACCCAGAGGAATGATGGCCCCAATATATATCTGACAAGGCAACAAAGTGGAGGCTGGTCTACACAGTCTACTGAGACCTAGGGAGATCCTTAACTACTAAGTTAAGGACTTCCCGACCCAGTACCGTACAAACCAACAGATTTTTGCAGTTTAACCACGAAAACAGTCATATTTTAGAAAGGTGATATCTTAGAAAGTGGCCATTTTCCAAAATGGCACTTCCAGTGACCGCACTATGTAATCCCTTCTAGATTCTCTGGGGCGAGTACAAAGAAGACAGATAACACAAAGTTGTCCAGAAACTTAAAAGTAACAACATCACTTCCATCACTACAGCAAAACAAACACATTAAACTCAGAAGATGCAATTCTGTGGAGTGGCTACTAAAAGTAAAAAAGTCTACTGGATGCCATCAGGAAAGATTCTCTACACATTGTTCACAGCAACTGGGATAATTCTTGTGATACTCCCATCGCACACGGCTATCAGTGCAAGCTCAGTAAATACAATAGAGAAACATTTCTTGTTCCTAAATCTCAAAGCAGTAAATATCTTAGGGGAACAGAGTGGCCTGAGCCTCACTTGGATCTATGGGGATCTAGTTCATTCTGCTTGCCAGCAAGGAGAATCCCGTAATGAGGTAATCCTGAATGTTCGGGCTAGTTTCAGAGTTGCTAAAACCTGCCACTAAGGGAAAAGAAAGGTTTCTTCCAAGTTGTTTGAGAAAAAGTCTTAAAATGTCTAAGTGAAACACTATGAGTATCAATAAAACAGGAAGCAGTAAAACAAAACTATATCTACCACCAAGAACAACCAAGCATCTGTTATTTGTCCCATAGAGGGCGACCTGCCTTATGCTTTACTTGTCTCTGATGAGTGTTTTACCTGCGACCAATATGATGAATTAGAACATAGTAATACTATATAAGTCAAGTGTTCTATTCAGAAATAGAAGGAAGCCTGTCACTTTAAAAGATTATTGTTATTCACCTAACTTCCAAACATGATAATAATGTAGTCTTTCTTGATATCATACAAAAAAAATTTAAAAATTCTTTGTCATTCAAACTAAGGGCAAAACTTCAAAATAAAACCCACTACATTTATTCCTTAAACTCACTTTATGTGAGAATTGTGTATAAATAAAATTCTAGATTTTAAATGCTTTCCAAACATAACCCTTATGCTTTCTGGACAGAAATATTAATTATTTTATATTCTTCTAGTTTCACAGGTAACAGATGAAATGGCATGCAAAGTACTGAGCATGAAAACGTCAAACCATTTATAAGATTGGGTGACATAATACACGCAGGCTCATGTCAGAAGATAGAGTGACTGTGGTAAATTGGACTTTGGGTTTCTTAGAGAAGAAAAATGTCTTAAAATCTGTTTAACGAAGGCAAAGGGAAATAAAATTTAAAATAAGCTTTGAGTACACAGAGAAATAAATTAACTAATTACTGTCCAATTTACAGCTGATATATTCAGTTTTTACCTAACAGTTTTAGCCTCAGCTACACCAAGTTAACTGACAGACTATGACACTAAGAAGTTCTTCCTCATTTTAATGAAACTGTTAAAGACAACAAAATCTTAAAAAAATCAAACAAAACAAAAACACCAGATACAACACCAAATCATCCCTTAAAGTTTCAACAGAAGCAGCCAAATTCCAAAGGACTTAGACTCACAGGCTGGTCAGGCCCATCTCCTCCCAGCACTCGGAAGCCAAACCCTGACTCCTGTTTCCGAAGAAAAACATCCAAGTCTTTGGTGTTTGGTGCTAAGGAAAACCAGAAAATATAAAAAATAAAATAAATACTTTCATTTACTCTGAAAACATTAAAGTAAAACAAAGTTCAATATTTAGTAGAATAATGTTATAGAGTTCAATAAACTATAACCTCAGAACTTTTTGATACGTGAAAATTTACACAAGAACATGACACCACACATAAAAAATTCAACCATAAATCTTTGTTTTGAGCTCTAAACAAAACTTTGTATCAAGATATATTAGGACTTCCAGGCACTCAATATTACACTGCCAATAACTCCTAATGCTTTCAAATCAATATTATAATATTAAATTCAGAATTATCCAATTTAAGTTTGATATTTGGTACATACAAATTGTCTAAATTAACACTTGGGCAAATCCTAGGAAAAGGGAGCCCATAAAATAACTTAATTCTACTTCTAAGCTAATACATTTGTCTCAGAAAAACATTACATATGAACTGCTTACTTAGCCTAGTTTTGCAAAAGACAAAAAATAAAAGACAATAAATAAAAGCTAACGCCTACTATTAGCCCCATTTTCTTGGGGAAACTAAATAACTTGCCCAGCATCACACAGCAAGTAAATGGCCAAGCTGAGATTTAAACCCAGCTTGATTTCCAGGGTCCAGGATCTTAACTCACCCCATCCTGCCCCCAAAGGTCAGGTCACAGTCATCAGAATATAATCAGAAAAATCTACTTCAGGACTAAAATTTTATCTCTGGGAAAATATTAATGTTATTTACAAGTAAGAAGTATTTGCTAGAAAAGGAAAAGGAGAAACATGCCACGGAACGATGAAGTATGTCCTATTAAAATCATAGAGCTACAGAGATAAAAAGACTCATGAGCCCAACTCATTAATGTTTTGGGTGAGGCCCAAAGGGACTGAACCATTTATACCAATACTCAGAATGTACCAGGCTATGAATGGGAAGTCTGAAGAAAGGGATTCTCCACAGTCACTCTAATTTAAATTATTTCTTTGCTGCGTTTACACCTGATTTTCATCTTTCTAAATATGGCCTAGGACTATCAAGCTAAAGACTTGCAATTGGTTAAATAAGTATGAAGGCAATTATATATAATACTTCCACCTGGGCACATCTTTTCCAAGGTCGATTTAGATCTAGTTCCCAAAGACAAATTAAAAAAAATTATTTCTACTTAATCTGCAATTTTACTCTGGAAAAGATGTACCCTCAGTACGAAAATGCATTTCTGCCTTAAGCACTCTCTCATCATCTCTCAGCCGGACTCCTCCAAGGAGTCCACTCTTTGGATTCCTCCTCGATTGCACACCCTTCCTCAGATTGCACACCCCTCTGATTACCATCCTCCATAATCCTGCCAGGAAAATCTTTCTGCAACACAAGTTCAGCAATATCATCGCTACAGTTAAAACCATTCCGTGGCTCTCTTTCTCACATGACCAACTCCAGCGTCCTCAGAATGGCATAAGCCGCCCTCCACTGCCCGCTCCCGCTCGCCCCTCTGGTGTCCCTTGCCAACCACACCCAGCCAAACTGAACTACTTGGAGAACGCAGGTCACGCAAGGTCAATGTGCAAATGTTATTTCTTCTTTCTTTCCTTTTTATCTGTCCCATAAACAGCTCTTTGTCTCTGAAGACTTGGTTAAAGCTTAACTTCCTATATGAAGCAGTATCTGACACTTCCTACTACCCACAGTGGTAAAACTGACCGTTTTCTACTTTGAATCCCAATTCATCCAGTTCATCCTTCTATTACTGCATCTGTTAGGCTTATTTGTACTTATTTGATTACATATTTGTATTTTCCGTTTAGGTTAATCATCTTTTTTTGGGTGCAAGGCCTATGTAACCTATTTATCTCTGTATTCCCATTACCTCCGCTGGGTGTTGTATAGATAGTAGGCACTTAACACCCAGTTTTGAAAAGAATGAATGAATGAATGTTGAATGTAAATGAAGAAGCCCAGAGTCATACTAAAATGGGAATGAAGGAATAACTTTTCCATATGGTTTTGAAAGATGGGAAAGTTTTAAAAATAATTCAAATTTATTTTGTTGCACACTCTCCTGAAATATTCCACAAGTACTTACGTTTATCTTCATACAAAGTCTTAGATTTCAGGTAGACCTCAGAAGGATCCAGTTTCGGGGATCCTGACCTGATAATGCTGGGTGGAAAAGGCATAGGCTGGGGAATGGGCTCATTTATGGCCTCCAAACTTCCTGAATTTTCCTTTTTATCTGTTTTCTGAAATGGAAAAGGGCCTTACTTAGCATTTTAAAAAACCAGATAGTTGATTAGTTCATAAAACTGTTGTCTGAACCAGGTATGTCAACTGATTGCGGTTGTGTAGGTGGCCGCATCAAAGCCACAGCATGTTTGCAGTCTTACAGGACTTCACCTTCACAGCTGTGTGTATTTGGTTAAAACACGTTTAACTTAAATTAGAAAAAGTTTATAATGATGTCAACTGAAGGGCCTTAATTAGTTCTATGTTTAAGCAATCTTGCCCTTTTCTTCACCACCGAGACACAAATTGACTTTAAGAAGAAAATAAATAGGGACAAGACACAATGCAGTACTTCTAAGTAACACCCGAGGAAGATGCTGAGAGAACACCTTCATAACATTCTTGACAAACCCCCTCCCCACTCACTGAATTTAATTTCCAGCAAAGATGCTGGAGGCAATATTCCTTCTAAGAGGATGGAATAGGAAGTGTTAACTCTAATTTAGGTTATAAAGATGACACTGTGAAAACCCTGCACAGCCAATTCAAATATATTAAGGAAAAATGCGCCATGCCAGGCAATCAGATAAGGGAAAAGAGAGAGCAGATTTTCATATTTTTCCCATTCAGACAGAACTTTCCCAAAAAATATCCAAGTAAAATGACTTCTTTAATAAAATTTTTAAAATGAAATGTAATAAATAGCCTAAGAAAATAAATAATTCTGTTTTGAGAACAGCTTGTTATCCTGAATTACTGTATAGAAGAGGGAGATTATTCTGTGATAAAATAATTAATGCTGACTAGAATGCAGGAGCAGCAGCTTGTCGGGGAGTAGGGAGGGGACTGTCACTACATAGTGTTGTACCAGAGGGGACCCTTCACAAACCCAGACCCAGTCAGATGTCAGGAAGACAAGAGCAGCCTCCTTGCCATTTCCCCACATCTCCTAGGATTCTGTCAGGGCAGGGAGAGGTCATTAGTTATAAGGCATTAGGGTCACCAGGCTGCACTGGCATCCATTGTGAAACAGATACAGTAGCCCAGAAGTTAAAAATGATCACTGGAAGAACCAGAAATGTCGAAAAATACAGTGCAATTTTTAACTGAATAGGCAAAAAGAACTTCTGTTTACACTGGACCTAAGTGGGACAGTCTATAAAAGTGTAGAGTGTTTCCTTCCTTTTGATCCATAAGATGGCTAACTTGCAGAAGATCCTCTTGGTGGGCTAGAACAAATGAATCCATCTTATATCTGATGGTCTTTCTTTTAATAACCTATGGTTTATGGTTGGAAGCCCATCTCTGAATTGTGAGATGACAGACCCCAAATCAAGAAACTAGAATTAAATTAGGATTTTATATCCATAGCCACATAATTGTACTATATAACTACTTATATAGTCTAAGTATAGTACTTATATAGTATAGTACTTATATAGCATAGTATAGTATAAGTATAGTACTTATATAGTATACAAGTACTTATATAGTGCAATTATGTACTTATATAGTCCTTAAATAGGCTACTCAATTATTCCAAAAAATGCCAAAGAACACTGTTTCCAGTCTGACAGCCTAACCACTGTGATAGCAAGCAAATTGAGCACAGAAGGCCACAATGACTCTAGAAAGTCCTGTTTGGTCCTAAATGTAAGAAGGTTATCTAAATGTGGGTATTCACAGTCCCGTGAAATTATGTGAAGCTGCCATGTCTTCTCTTTGGGCATCAGGGAGAGGATGTAACAGTTTACCATCTTCCCTTAACTTCAGCTACTTCTTATCTTGCTCCTCTGAAACACGAAGAAAGCAAAAGGACCCCTAAATAGGCACTTCAATGTGCCCACATTTTACTATGTAGAGAACAGCATTATTGGTAGTATGGGCCTCGAGTAATAGAAATACCTAACCAGGAAAGCAGCCTCCTCTCTGGGCGACTCTTTCTAACTCACAGGCTTCCCTAGAGTTTCTGATACGAGCCCAGGGCAGTGCGCCTCCTGCCTTCTCCCAGTCGGCAATCACCACCACAGAGGGCTGCTCTCACAGAGGGCAACACGGCATCACTCTCGCTGTGCTGGGAAGGAGCATTTGAGGACCACTGCATACTCACCATTTTGGCAGTTTTAGTTGGTGAAGGAGGACCTTAAAAAAAATGAGCCAAATTTTAAAAACAGAGGTAGCATTCCCAGATCACAAATATTGCTAACATTTATGATAAAACTAGCTTCAACCTTTAGTAGGCTAGTAAATTCTATATCCAACACCTCCTATGTGCCATGCTTTATACATATGTTATCTCATTTCATTTCTATGACAATCCTAAGGCATAATTGTTACTACTGTTTTATAGATAAGGTAAACTAAGATTCAAATAGATTAACATTACTTCCTTACACCATAGAACCAAAGGGTAGCAAGGCAGGAAACTATCACACCTCTCTGGCACCAAACCCTGGTCTCTTTCTCGTATTTGTCGGAACCCTGGATGATCTCCAGCACTCACAAAGAGATTTCCACCTGACCCGGAGCACATTCTACCACGTCACCCAGAGAAGAAACGAAAACAGTTCAAAGAAATAAGAATAATGAAAAATGCCCCAAGGAAGTTACACTGCTCATTTGCCTCAAAAATGAAAACTAAAAGCCAGAGAGTTAAGTGTGAAGGGCTAAATTTTATTTTTTAAAATACTAGCCACTCACAGGTATAAATTTAAGAAAGCCCATTAAAACACAACTTGGTGATTAGTCCTTGGAACTGGATTTACGTCTGGGAGCCGTTCAAGTCAGCTGATGACCTTGGAAAGTAAAAATTATACTTCTCTCACAAGAGTACTGTGGGGTTTAATTAACATTTATGAACAGATACTAAAGCTTAAGATGAAAGCTTTATGAGCACAAGTTATCAGGATTGCTCTCACAGAACAGATTCACACACCGTCCAACATCATTCTGCTTCTTCACAGAGACGCCAGCTCTTTCAAAGAATCTTTGGTACATTACAGAGGCCCAGAGGAAGTACCACTGGTTGAAAGGGTCAATTTCTATTATTGTCATCAACAGAGAAAATGAAATTAAGAGGATATATTTCATTTGAAGTAGCACAATGCTGTGACTCTCACTAATCATTAAAGCCATAAATCAGATTTTAAAAAGAATATAGAGGGAGAGAAACCCATAACAGACACAAATGAAACCACTAAAAACTGAAAAAACTGCCGCAAAAGATACTGCTTACGGAAGCGGTCAGACAGAACCTTCAGGAAAATGCACACTAACTACTACTTAAGTCTGCTAGGAAAGAGACATTCTGACCTGTAAGGAAGGACAATTAGCTGACAAAAATGCACGAGCAATGCAGATCTTTCCTTGTTGTACTTTTACTTACCTCCTCTTAAGATAAGCAATGGTACATCTGCACCTACTGGAAACTGCTTTAGCACCTCCACCACTTGGAGATGTGTTAAATTCTGCACATTCTGATGGTAAATTTCCTTAATTATATCCCCCTTCTGTAGGCCTTGACACCACTGACTATCCAATATCATTTTCACCTTCTGTCCAGTTGGGCTGTCAGCAATTGCAAACCCAAAGCCTTTAGGGCCCTTAATCAGAGGGATAGTCACTAGTTCAGGCTGGGAGCTGCCTGATGATGCCATGGATGCTCTCTGCTCACTCGGATCTGATAGTCCATTGAGACGATCACCAATCAAGGTGTGTCCTGATTTTCCATTCTGGTCCAGAACCATTGCTCCTGACTTAAAATCCTGAGTATTCATGCAAGTCTCTCCCTTGGTTAATGACTGTCCGTTAATGACAGGAGTAGCAGCAACAATGTCCACAACAGGATCTTCATTGTCATCAGGAAGAGGATAACCACGACACAAAGTGAGGTTTACATACTGATTGACAGGTACCAATTGAAACATCTGGACAACATCTGCATGAGTGTGACCAAGGACACAGTTGCCATTGATGTCTACAATAACATCACCTGGTAAAACAAAACCATATTAAAAATATTAAAAACACCAAATAAGTTAATTTTTTGTTGGGTGCAGGCAAAAATACCTTAAATTTTGCATCTAAATATGAATTCTGCAAACCTCTTACTGTTCACTAACTGCTGAAAAAATAGATTTCAAACACAGATATGGCATTTTCCCTTTTGAGATTCCTCTCTAAAAAGAATATACAAATACATAAAATCATAATTATGATTGTGGCAGAGAGTTATGACCTCAAGCTCAAGTGAATTATTTAAAAAATAAGTGCAAATTCACATTATCATTGTTAGTATATCCTCTAAGTGGCCTAAGTGGCCATACAAAGCTAGGGACATTGTAGCAGGTATTCAGTAAACAGATGAGGAGCAAATACCTCCACAGGCTACTTGTACAAAAAGGCAATCTTTAAATACCACCTTATTTCTTGATTTTAAGAAGCCATTGATTACAATGTACTTAAAAATTCATTCTAGTTTGAAAAATGTAGGGCTGAAGATAAGAATAATGTTAAGTCATGAGTGTATTTTATTTTAGCATTCTTCTTTTTGTAGAGATTTTCAATTTATTGTAATTCAGATTTCAAAAGGAGAAACAAGCAACAAAAAATTCAACACAGGCTAGGAACATATTATTTAAGACATTGAAAAGTCAGCTAAATTAATCCTTATAAAAGCTGATTTTACATTATGGCCACTTTGGGTGCAGAATCATTACCACTTGACATTCATCAGTTGTGTATTTTTTTTAATGCGTCTTAACTTTTTAAATCTGTCCTCTGATGTCTCATCCATTTGCTGCTTTTATTTGAATATGATTATTTAAAAGGTTATTGCCAAATAAAGGTGCTTTAATTTGTTCTGATTGCATGTAGGCTGTAAAAAATCAACATGAATGGTATTTAAAAACAAATGTTAGTCTGTAGAAACTTGTTTCATGATCTAAGAAGATACAAAATTAGACTAATTAGAAAGTTTTGACATTTCCTCCCCGGTTAAAGTTCCCAGAATTTTCATGGCAGTATTCTATTGCTATGCAAATTAGATAAGAGTTTTAGACGAATCTGAATCTATATTAGAAATCCTGACAGCATATACAATAGCTACAAAATGTGTTTCATGGACAAAATATTTAAAAAGTCGAAATTGAGAACTTTTGAAAATAAGTTGCTATCTGCCATCAAAAGTACTACGACAGTTGAATCGTCCAAATGAGGGACATATTTACATGGTACGTGAAATAACAGAGGATTAGAAAAGTCTAGCAAACAGTGCAAGAAGCAACCTCAGTGGAATATTAAAATCTTTCTGGAAAAAAGTGCTTAAACCTCCCCCATAATCAATAACGATTCTAGAACATCCTCTAACCCCTACAGCCAGAAACACTGTCAGCCATATAAAAATATCTAACAATTGCCAAGTAAAGACTTTGGGGAAACTATACAAAAGACAAAGTTATACAACACTATAAAAACGGTAATATTCATTTCTATAATTATTAACATAGCAGTTTAATTTTACTAACAACCAGTAAGACTAAAGAAGCAAAAACAAAAAAACAACCTCGGGAAAAAGCTGTGAGATATAACAATTTGCTCAGTATCACTATAAACATCACAATGGATCATTTTTCAAAAAAGATTATAGGTAAAAGTTAGTTCCAAAAGTACCCTACATAATCAAAGAAAATCAAACAATCAGATATTTTCTGAGATGGTTAATAAATCTTCAGCTCAGTACAGCCAAAGAGTTATCTCAAAATTATACAAACTATTCAAACAATTCATAATTTTAACATATTTTCTCAAGTTTCCACTTATTTGTAAAAATGGCCTTTCCTCAAAACTAGTATGTATTTAATTTAGAGGATAAACTATGTTAATACAGGAATCTCCCTCTTCAGTCATATAATTTAGTTCTCTCTCTTTAAATATGTAAATTACATATAAAATATAGACATATATAGTTATCACATATGTAAATATATATGTACTATATATAAACTACATATATAATATATAGTTACTATATATGAATATATATTTCTTGTATATGTTAGAGATATATAATATATATACAAAACCTTTTCACTACAATTTTTGTTATAGTATTACTACTCTTCAAGTAATTCTGAAAAGTTTTTTACCTGGTGCAATTTTCCCATCCTGAGCTGCAGGACCATCCTTCAGCACATTTTTCACTTGCAGGAACTCATCAGGCCTGTCTCCACCAATAATGGTAAAACCAAATCCCATTGTGCTTTTTTTCAACGATGCTCGAAGAAGAACACCTTTAAGCTGGGATGGATCTCGAGTAAAGTGTGATTTTTCCACATCTGTGCCAAAATGAGAAATGGGTTTGAGAACAAAAATAATTAAATGAATACAGCCCTCAAAAACTATCTTTTAGATTGTCTGTATAACAAACCATACAAGAAAGAAAATGAGAGAGAATCTAATGTTATGGAACAGTTAAAATTTAAATTCATAAACGAAATCACTGGAAAAAACTTAGCTAATGAATCATTTCTTCTTTACAGGACTCTTCTATATTATGTGAAAGGTAAAATCACCTACTTTATCTCCTCTTCATTGCCTTGTTTGTACTTACTTTTTCTCACTCCAAAGAATCCTTTATATGAAGTCAAAATGATGTATTTGGGTTGTTTCCATTTTTTGGCTATTATGAATAATGTTGCTATGAACATTCACATACAAGGTTTTGTGTGGGCACAAATTTTCACTCCTCTTAGGTATATGCTAAGAGTAGAATTGCAGCAGTGTCATAAACATACACTAGTAACTATGCTTAACATTTTGAAGAAGTGCCAAACTTCTCCAAAGTGGCTGGGCCATTTTACATTTCCACCAGCAATGTATGAGGCTTCCAATTTCTCCACATCCTTGCCAACACTTGCTATTGTCTGCGTTTTTGGTTATAGCCATTTGAAACTCATTTCTTCTCATGGCTGCCTACCCCTACAACCTCTTCTCTTGTTAGTACCCAACAAATACTCTATGCTCTAGCCATTCCTATCTGCTCTCTGGCCCTTGGACCACCATTTCATGCATCTATGGTTTTATATGTTCTGTTCCTTCTACCTGATATGCCTTCTTCCTCCTCTAAAATTTCTATCTGCCTGATTTAAGTGCCTCCCTGGCACTTTGAGACCCAGTTCAAATGTGTCGTCTTCTGCCTTGAAAGTTTCCCTGCCCCCTCAACTGCCTTCACCAAAGCAGAGTTGAGCTCTCCCTCCTTTATGCCACCTTTGTACCTTGTATATCTCTATTAATAACAATGAAGGCTATCAATTATTGGTCACCATGTGCCAGATACCATTGTAAGCACTTTATATGCATTATTTTGCATACTCAGAATCACCTTAAGAGGTTAAGTACTATTATTATTCCTATGTTATAGATGAGGAAATACAGGCACTAAGATCTTGTTTAGGGAACTCACCCAAGGTTACAAGCTGGGATTCAAACCTGCTCCACCCCTTGTACATTTAACTTCTCTTCTGGGATGGCACCTGTCATCATATACTGTAACAATTAGTTTCCTATACTAGAATGTGAACTCTTGAGGGCAAGACCTGTCTTACTCCTAATCATTTCTGAATATCATGTGCTAATTAGCAAAGTACTTGGCATATAGTAGGTGCTCAAAAGTATTTGTTGGACTATAAATATTTGCTAAATCAAATGTAAAACTTAGGGGAGGGGATTACGTTTTTGAAGAGTAGTTATAAGAAAGAACTGTTTCTCTCAGGGACAAAAGAAGTGGGACATCTACTCGATTACTATGATATGAGCATATAGACCCCCGGTTATTAATGACAGATGGAGAAGGGAGATGAGATGGAAGGAATGAGCAGAATGTAAGAAATTCCTAGGCACTTTTTTCAAAATACACGGAGCTAGGCTCATCAAAACCTCAGGACCTATATATTTTAAAAATGCTCCCCAAATGATCCTGATATTACTAATACCTCACCATCCCAATTGAGAATCACTGATGTAGGCAAATAATATGGTAGATTTATTTAGTATTTGTTCATAACAGTTAATGAAGAATCCTGAATGGTTACTGACATTAGACTAGACAATTAACTTGGGAGAAGCTCATACTGAATTCGAGGTCTAATACTGGCCTGTCCTTAAACATTAGGAAACAATCCAGTCTTCAAATCAAAACCTAAAACCCATAACAAAGCTATTTAATCCCTTCTCCCAACAATTTCATACTTTTATATAAGCAGCATGAGAAAAATATCAGTATTCTCAAAATGTTCAGATATTTTATTAAAATTAATATGTTTACAAAATATGATTTGCAAAAATTAGACATTCTCTGTTGAATTTCAAAGTCCCAATACTAAAAAGTTCAAACATTTTTATTAGTTCAGTACATAAATCTCACAAGTTATTCTTGGAAGGAAAGATTGAAGAAAAACTTCTACCTGGTTTTGATGACCCAGTATCAGCCTGTCCTAACTGCTTTTTCCTTTTGGCTTCATCCACTGGATTTTCAAACTGGGTTTTCTGGTTAAGGTGACTGTAAAATGTAGAAAAATACACATTTCAGGTTAAGATGAAAGAGATTATTTTTAAGTAGACTATTATACCACTCCATCATCATAGTTTAAAGGACAAATATGTATCATTAGGCTATGGAACACAGAAGCTGAAAGATCACAGTGGAAGGGCTTTTTGGCAACTAAAGGCCCATAGAAGTCAAAGCTGCTGAAGCATTCACTATAGCTGCTTCATAAACGTACCCAATATAGCCAATAACAGTTTTCAAAACTGCAGTCGAAGGCCTCCTATCTAATGCAATCACAACTGTTGGTAACTGATAGGCTAATTTTTTTAAAAGACAGTTAATGGTAGGACGGCTTTAATTTAAGTTTCTCTAAAATGAAGCAGCTGTAGAGACACTTTTAAAGAAATCTGAGTACAGAAGTTTTCTAGAAGTTTACTATTACTTTTCCAACTAACTCACCCATATCAATTTAGCAGCAACTAAGAAAGAGATTTGCTCTTATCAAATTGTATCACAGAACAACTCTTCCACATTTAAATTTCCTCATAATTATATAATAATTAAATGAATTCTATAATTACAATATAAGTTTAACCAGTATTTCTGATTTGGGAACATTCACAACGGACTCCTGAAAAGCATACAAGACTGTGGGGGAAAGCAGAAGAGCACAGGGAGACTAAGAGGGTAGGAGATCAGCCAATGGTAGTCAATACACTATGCGTGATGGTATGTTTTACAGAGAGAACACAGCATTGGTTATTCCGGAAAGTCAGTTAAGCGGAAGTTGGTTAAGAATGCAACTATTGTACAAAAGATGTTTAAGACCACAAATAGGTCTAATAGAGAAGCAACAGGAATTATATTCTAGCACTTCCATAGTGCAAATATATTTCAGCCAAATGACATGCATTTTCCAATAGCAACCATTTTAACAAGAAGTGACATTAGTGAATAACAAAAATTAAACATCAAATCATGATAATTTCAGGGGCCAGCCACGTGGCGCAGTGGTTGAGTGTGCATGTTCCACTTTGGCGGCCCATGGTTTGCCAGTTCGGATCCCGGGTGCGGATGTGGCACCGCTTGGCAAGCCATGCTGTGGTAGGCATCCCACATATAAAAAAGTAGAGGGAGATGGGCATGGATGTTAGCTCAGGGCCAGTCTCCCTCAGCAAAAAGAGGAGGATTGGCGGCGGATGTTAGCTCAGGGCTAATCTTCCTCAAAAAAAAAAAAAAAAAAATCAGGAGAATTTCAGATTAAGATTGTCTTTAGATAGACTGAATATTACAAAACCTACATATAAATAGTCATACAACTTGGCTAATTACTTTGCCATTTGTGAACATTAATGGTGGTGATGGAGGAGGGAGCAGCAGGGGCCAAAAAAAAAAGAAACCTTCACAGCAAAGTATGCTAGCTTTCTCTTTGTCCTTCAGGCTTCTAGTGCAGTATTAATCCTGCAACAGATGTGGTTATTTAGTTTCAGAGCTCTAAATATGGCAAGTTCTATCTGATACTCTTTGGGTTCTGATTTCACTAAAACTCAAGTTTAAGTATGCTTCTGCTTCTTATGATGGGGGGCACCTCATCAACTGAGTTAACTGCTTAAATCTCTGTGAGAATGAAGATCTTCGCTGTTAAATTAGGTACGTTTACTATTATTATTTACTAGGTACTGACATTTTACAATAAAACAACTAGAAACTGACACTTAGAAAAGAATAAACCTGTTTAGAAAGAACCTTGGCTCACTTTAACGTCATCAGCCAGAATGACCCACTTTGCCACCTAGGCACTAGAACATAAAAAGCAGTAACTTGTATTTATACTCTCTGTAATGTGTGGGAGAAGAGAGTAGAAGTATGCAAATGAGTAATCTTTTTCCTGAAAATTCTCTGAGAAAAGAATGTAAGATTTTAGTAAAGAGAGTAATAACATCTGTCACCTTAAGACTACCTAGATTTAAACGCCACCCAAAAGACAAAACAAAAAAGTAAAGACACTCTCCTTTTTACTTACTTACACCCACAACATTATAAAGATGTAACAACTTTGTTTTCCCTATAACTAGCTATGGGAAGTAAGAGAGGAGAATATTATGGATTATCAGAAAGATTAAACAAGGGTAGCAAACAAGCACAATTAAATATATAATATTTTGATTCTCATCTATATTAAAATTTTTCATATAATATATGGATTTTTAAAATTGATCTCAACAAATCATTATTCTTTCATGAAGAGCTGGAGATATTAAAGCAGACATATATGTTGACTTCGCCACCTAAGTGCGTCAAGACATTTAACGCAATACAATAAGACAAAATTTCTAAATATATAAGCATTCTTATGAAAGGCCTGCCACTACATTTTTGGAACAATTTTATTTTCAGAAATAAATTAATCCATTTCAGAATCTCATCCTCTAAAGTAAGTACCTATAAAGAAACTGCCATTGCAGTTGGTGTTACTACTACAAGGCTCCTGCCAAGAGCAAACACTGTGCCATCTGGTTTGACAAATTAAGAGAGCCAAAGAGTAGCCATTCAAGTAACAGCTTTTTATCTCCATCAGTAAACTCACTGCAGATTACTATGGTCGAGATTCAAAACCTAACTAATCTGGGAATCAAGCCACACTCCACAGCTCAGCTGACTCCATACTATTGTGCATCTTGAGTACAGCCTGCTCTTTCTTAACCTAATAAATTACCCTCCTATAAAATGAGCTCGTTCTGGGAACAATCATACAAAATCATGTCACTGCTGCTGCTGTTGCTTCTAATTCAGGCTATTTCACCCACCTCCATGACAACTGGGAGCAGGTCACTTCAGGATTTGCCCTAAAGTTGCTTCAATATTATATCTTTGCTTAATGGGAACCAGACCATTTAGCCCAAGATTTTACAACAGGCAAATAACTTTCACCTTTTGACCATGTATTCAAATTCACTTGGAATAAACAATGAGAAAATGAGAATCATTATCTCAGAAATATTCAGCAGTGTCAATGGCAAATAATAATAGTCAATTGAAGCCCAATTTAAATAGACTAAACTACAAAGGAAAAAAAAAGTCCCATAAAACCTTTTCAGTTGGCCTTCAAATATTCCTTTGACTTGAAAACTGGTTTCTTCATTTCTTTATTTTAACTAAATAAGCTTTAGAAAAAAATAACAAAAGAGCTGCTGTATACTTTTCACATCACAGTATGATGAAAATATTAAATAACACAATGGAAATAAAATCAGCATAGCCTTTCAATGGAACCAAAATATTGACACTGTGAAGTTATATACCTAAGGGTCAAACTACCTGAGGTGTTTTCTTAGGGTACAGTTAGATTTTTAAGAAATCATTCCAAAAATCTCCCCAACCACAATGACTCAAGTAACAACCTACACATTACAATAAAGACTAGAGTTACAACAGGACTCAGACTTATTTACTTCATGCAAACAAGTGATGAAAAATAAATAAGCAATCACAAAACTAGAAGATTCTCCTGTTTGCTATTTTTCTAGATAATAATACCATTTTTCCTTCACCATCTAGGCAGTAGATTCAGACTCCTAGTTTCCAGGTAAACAGTAACGTTTCTGATGCAATTATTTGCCTAGTACTACATGCCTGAGGTCAAAATTCTATCGATGGCATCCAGAAAGAAAGCAATCCCAATGGTCATAACCATGTAGCAATTAGATAAATGAAGAAAATGGAAAGAAAAATTAGATGTTGACGTTATCCTAATTTCTCTGGCTAACATAGGCAGATGTTTGGTGCTCCACTCCAACATATACGTATGTTTAAATTTAACCATAACAGCTGTGTAAGAAGCAACTTTCACCTTCAAAAAGAATACTAAGTTTTCCTTGATTAAGTCCTCAAGTGAGAGAACACTTTCAATCATATACCTCAAAACTTTGGATCATTCTGGTACACTGCGCTGAAAGTCTCTCACTGCTTTCAGAACCACACAGCTGTAGGCTGGAAGTGACCTTAACAGCTCATCTAGTGCAGTGCCCTCATTTCACACTTTTCTTTCTACTCTGTTTCTCTTCAGAAGCTGGAGTAGTAATGATAACATCTCCAGCTACTAATCACCTGGGCAACTTCTAACTCCATATTTACTTCAAAGCCGACTTCTAGGGAGCCCAGAGCCAGTGAAGTAAATGTTCACTGTCCCTATCTTCTCATTCCCCTAGAGGAGAACCCTGAAAGCTGGACTGCAGAAGCCTTACTGCGCTGTGCAGTATTCCCCGAAGCTGTATAATGAAAGGAAAAGATTTGGGAGAATACTAACTGAGGTAAGAAACTTACTCAACATAGTATGTCCCATACTGAGGATCTTCTATTTTCTCCCAGCCATAAGGAAGTTCTGTAAATAAAAAAAGAAAAAAAGAATTGAGTAAAATGCCAAATGCAAAACCAAAAGAAAAGAATTCACCAACAAGTGAATTTAAGTGTCTTTTATTTCATTATACTAATATCTGGGAGACAAACAGAAAGCTGAGGGCTCACTTTCAAAGAACAAATACAGTTTGCATCTGAGTGGCTTCTTCAACAGCCAGTGAGTGCCTCAGCAAGTAATCAGAAGCCCAGAACAAAAGATGACATTAAACTCAAAAGTGCTTATCTGAATCACAAGCCATAAAAATGCTAATTATCTTAAAAGTCATTTGGTATATTTTTTTCACTTAAAAAGCTGGATAATACTGACATGAGACACTCTTACCCAGTAGTCCAACACAAGCAGCAGCTGCTTGATAAATTTTTCACCATGATACATAAGATTTCTGTTATTTCTCCCATCACATTCTGACCCACTTCTCCCCAAAGGAAAGTCAACCTTGGATTTTGGCCATTTCAAGTGGGTAACCAAGATTTGCTTAAAACTTAAGAAAGTACCTACTTTCCCTGGCATTAACTTGATCTGAGCATCTGAAGGAAAATTTATCTAACTACCACAGTGCCTAGTAGAAAATCTGTATTTGTGTATGGTAACAAAGAAATATCTCATGTAGGATTACTATATATTATTTATTCCAAGTAACTGACAATAAAATATAAACAGAAGAACTGAAGGTAGTTGAATTTCTGATAGTTAAAAAAAAAATTCTGGTCTTTCCAACATAAACTGACACTGTCAAGAAAGAATTCTCTTTTCCCTCTACTCTATTTTCCAAGGTAAGACTCCTGAAGAATCATTTTATTAGTCAGACGCGGATTAAGTTGGCAGGAATGTTCCTAGCAGGTGGTTTGAGTGCTATCAATTATACATAGGAACCCAACAAGAAGGAATTTTTTAAAAACCCACAGTTGTACAGTATGATGACCCACACTTTTACTTTCAATTTCTTTTAGAGTATTTTTCTGCTATGCTGAAACACACAGACATGCACAGACACACACACACACACGACGCATCCTAGACAGTTAAAAGGCTTAGAAGATATCAGAAGGTTTATTAATTTTATACCATTTAGCTGCAATTATGATGTATTGACTTTGTAAGTAAAAATTCCATTATAATGAATCTGATAAGCTATACAAACTACTATGCTCTAAAAAACATTATTATTTCCACATTCAGAATAAAAGGAGAGAATAGAATGACCAGCTTCTTGATGAAAAGCTCTGAATCACCTCCACCTGTTTTCTCCAGAATATTTTTCTTCCTGTGTAAATACATATCGATTGGCGGTTTTGAAGCTTGGTGAACTCACCAAGTACCTGGTTGAAACGTCTGAGGTGGAAGAGATGAGAATAGTTGAAAAGTAACTACTATGTGAAAACAGAACAAAGCAGCTGAGAAGAACTGAGGCATACTTCAGTCCACTCTGCTCCTCCACATCTACAGAGCAGACAATCGTCAATTAACTAGGTACGATATTTTATAACCAAGCAACTATTATATGGATAAGAATATTTGTTGGATTCTATCTGCAAAAAATACTCTATAATAATATTACCAAAGCATTATCATTAACAATCTTCCAAGAAAGAGATTTTTTTCTGTAACAGAAATTTTCTTGAAATAGCATGAGAACTGAATGGTGCTGTGTAAGGATAAATTCTGCAACTGTACCACATGTGGAGTTACGCTTTGTCTTTAAAGAAGCTTGGAGAACTGAAGGAACTATAGAGACAGCTGAAACATTCCCTTTGGTATCTGAAAAATTGACTAAAAAGGATGCATTGATACTTAATAAGGATAAAGGATCAACACAAATATATTTCAGGGTTAATCTGGAAGTTCATTCAGCATTTTAGTTAGCACTTAAAACAATTAGCAACTAACAGATAAAGCAGAGCCTTTTCTTTAGGAGAGTAAACAAATTGGTAATTTATCTTGTGGGTTATTTAGTAATGACTTTAAACCCTCACCAGTAATAGCATTATCCAGTTTTCTGCAGGGCAAATTAATACAAATAAAGAAGTGGTTATTATTTGCCCATTTAAATAAAGGTAATAAAAGCAAGACTAAAATACCTAGCAATTTTATACACTATCCAGTGGGTCAGTTCATTCACTAATTTCCTTCCCTTTTTCTTCCTATATTTCCTTCCTTCCTTCTTCGTTATGCAAAATAACAATTAGAAAAACAACACAGCTCTTGACCTCAAGGAGTTCACAGTCTAAACAGGAAGACAGAAGACACAAATCATATAATGAAGATAAACACAAGCTTTCTTGGGGAGTGCAGAGGAATGACCCCAATTGCCTGGTAAGAGTAGCTATCAGGAAAGCCTTCTAAAAGAGGGTGATGTCTTAAAGGGTGAGTTGGGACTGGGGAGAGGGAGACCATTCCAGACAGACCAAAGAACACTGAGGGTTAAGAATGCCTGGCATTTTCAGTAATTACGAATAATTTGATAGGGCTGGAGTGAAGGTTGTAGGCAAGGTGCTTGTCTTATAAGCACCAAATCACATTCCTGGAGTGCCATGTTAAGGAGTGTAATCTTCATTTTGATGATGATGGAACTGATTAAGCTGGACTGTGACATGATTAAATTTATATTTGAGAAAGATTATGGGCAGCAGTAATACAGCATGTGCAGATAGAGTGGAGTGAGAATAAAGGCAGACAAATAAGAAAATCATTAATAGCCTAGATAAGAAATTATGAAGGCTGGAATTAAGGCAGTGGTAGTGGAAACAGAGAGAAAGAATGCATAAAAGAAACAAGGAAGTCAAAGTAATAGGGCTCAATGACATGAAGATGGAGAGAGGAAAAGAGGGGAGGAGGCCAAGAGGATTCCCAGGTTAATGGCTCTTCTGGCACGAAAATGACACACTATCAGATGTTTATTGAATATTTACTATGAAAATAGCTGTGGGAATAGGAACAAAGTATTAATTTGGATTTAAAGGCATTTTGGTGACAGATAATATGTAAAAAGTGCCTAATGTAGTGCCTAGCACCATCGGACATTCTAGAGATGGTAGGTTTTTAAAGGTCAGAAATAATAGAACTTGGTAGTTAACTGTAATGAAGAGGATAAGGTGAGGAAAAAGTTGAAGATGATAACCAGCTTTTGGCTCAAGGAACTGGAATATGGTGTCATTTGTTGAGGGCAGGAACGGAAGATTTAGCTTAGTTTGGGAGGTCTTACCTTTGAGGGGCCTGTGCAATACCTGGTAGAGATATCTAACAATCTATTGGAAACATAAACCTAGTCCTGAAAAGAAAAATGTAGGAAGATAAGGATTTGGGAGATATTGTAGTTAGGCTATGGCATTAGGCAAGATTACCTAGATAAATTATGAATAGAAAAGGTAGAGAATAGAACCTCAGTAGCATTAACAATTAAAGGAGCAGATGGAGAAAATAAGAACAGTTAGAGGAAATGGTGTCAAAGAAGACAGAAGAGGAGAACATGGTCAACACTAACAAATGCTTTAGAAAGCTGTCAGGACTAAAGATAGGGGCTGAAAAAGAGTTCACCAAATTTGGCAGTCAGGAGGTTATTGGTAATCTTAAGAAAAGAAGTTTCACTGAGAATGTAGAGGAAAAAATTCAGTGTATTATAGTACCGAAGAGTGAAATAGGAGTGGAGTCCTCAGAAGAGATGGCTCTTTTTGTTTTTTTGAAACTTGGTTGTGAAAAAGGTAGTGTGAGAACCATGGGAAGAAGTAGAGTCAAGAGAAAATATGTTTATTTACTTTTGAGATAAGCAAAGACCTAACCATATGGAAGCTAAAGCATAACCCCCAAAAGTTGATTCAAAAGGTAAAACTATTCCTGGCGTATCAAACAGCTGGTTGGTTCTAAAGCCCATATATTTATCTTTCTTTCTTCCCTCTTCCCAAAATAGGACTTTTCTCACTTAAGTATATGAATTACAATTGTTTTCTTATTATGGAGCTCCAGTCGGTTGATAATTTTCTTTTATCATTCTCTAAGCTCCAAAATGACATCAACATTCAACACATTTTAGTATAAAATACGCTTAATTTAAACTTTCTTTCATCCTAAGAGAAAAGAAGTAAGCTGAGAGTAAAATGGACTCCTGATGTTGTAGTTTTAAAATGACTATTCAACCAAAACACCAATTATTTTATTTGAATGGAAGATAAATATGTACATCAATTAAACCATCAAATACAGTATACAAAGACAGTTGGGTTCTGAATATCAGAAGACTAGAGTGGAAAGGGCAAGTTTTTAGAAATTCTAAGGTTTTCCTAGAAGATCTTAAATATTCAGCACAATGCAAAGAATATCTTCCTACCTATAAAAATTTACATTTAAAATATTACTATTATTATCCCCTTTTGAACATCTACTCTGTGCAAAGCACTGTGGAGAATACCAATATAAGCCAGACACAGTCTAGTATGGAAATAGCCCATTGTGGGGCTATTCTCCCCATTCAGGGAGGAGACATATACACAGCCAAAGTGGTAAATGTTGGCTGAGCATAAACCAAATAGGCTCAAGGTTCCAAACTGCGGAGTCCCCACAGGTAAGTACAGGCAATGTTAGAAAGGCACACACAGTTGTGGGGACGGGTGAATAGCCCTTATATTAAAAGGTTTTGAAGATTCCTAGAATACTGAATGCAATTTTGGTTGCTCTATCTTAAGAAAGATATAATTAAGATGAACATATAATGTATTGTCTACTTTTGAGAGTAAAAGGGAATACTATTAATAATTATGCTAGGACAACAGGAATAAGCTGGATTAGTCCTGGGCTAACCAAGATATATGGTCACCTTAATGTAAAGAGCATAGGGAGACACACTTATCCAATTTTTCAAATTTCCATAGAGGGGAAAGAATGGGAGAAACATTTCCAGTTTTTCTGAGCCCCTTCATTTTCTTCTCCAAAGAAGAAAGAATGTCTTATCTGACTGAGGAGTTTTAGAAAATGAATTCAATATGCTTGGCTCAGGGCCTCTTGGTTTCTCTCCCTATTTTAGATGTCAGCCTGAAGGCAGAGAGGGTACAATCCACTCTGGTCTCCACCATGCCTGCCTTGTAGGAGAAGGCCTGCAGCTGAACAAAGAGGCCAGAGGCTGAATGCTTATGTCTGCCTCCTGTTGGGATAAAATATCAGTAAGCCCACACAGATGCAGAGCTAAAGCCATGTTCACTCATCAGCTGGCATCCTAATCTCATCTCTCTGTTTCCCGTGTCTTATTTCTCTATCAACTGCAAACTAGTGAATGAAGACAGACTTATTACTTATTGCCTCACCCCAGAATTTTAGAGATTAAAAAATATTTTCAAAAAGGATGACCAAAATATCTGGGGGATAGAGTAGCTTCTTTCCTTCCTCTTTCTTTTCCCTCCCTTCCTCCTCCTCTCTTTCCAAACATTTCAGTCTCTACTGAAAGGTGATACAGAGGAATATGACAAAATCATTGCCCTTATAGTTACAATGCAATATAATTAGTGCTACCATAGATATACATCATATGGTACTACTGAGCACAGAGAACACCTAATTCTGACCCTGAAGAGAATGACAGACGAGGCTACAAAGAAATTATACTTTAGATTCGAGCTTAGAAGGATAAGTAGGTATGAGGCAGGTGGACACAAGGAACAAGGCTGGTTCCTGGCAGAAGAAATGGGCATATGGAAAAGACAAAAATGTCATATTTATGACATGAAAAAGAAATATAGAATATGGTTCAATTATAAAACACCTTCGATACTTCACCAAGGAGTCTAGACTTTATTCTGCTGACAGTAGGGAGTCATTACAGGTATCTGAGGAAGGGAGAGGTATGAAGGCAGTTGTATTTTAGAAAGATTAATAGGCAATGTAGCCAAAGTTTTTTAATCATGTAGCCTTACCAGTAAAAAATATGAACATGTACCTACAAGATATATACATTTATTCATAAATATGTATGCTGCTGTTAGTGCCATCAAGTCAACTCTGACTCCTAGTGACCCTGTGTACAGCAGAGTGGAACCCTTCCTGGTCTTTGTGCGCCATCCTCTCACCTTCCAGCGCTATATCAGACAGTGCTCTGCTGCTGTTCACAGGGTTTTCATGGCCAATTTTTTCAGAAGTGGGTGGCCAGGTCCTTCTTCCTAGTCTGACTAGTCTGGAAGCTCCATTGAAACCTGTCCACCATGGGTGACCCTGCTGGTATTTGAAATACTAGTGGCACAGCTTTCAGCATCAGAGCAACATGCAGCTGCCACATATGACAACCGACAGATATGTATGATATATGTGTACTTCTCTACTAATAAGTATGTAATAGAGCATACACAAAATACAAATTTACGAAGGAGATGAAGACTAAACAAATATCACTGTTTCACTTCAATGTGGTTTAAAAAAAGTGAAAACATGACATCTGAAATGTGTCAGCTCTGCCATTTTCTTTCTGTTAGCGTGGGCTTGCTATATACTTATATTACCTTCAATCGGTAGTATCTTTGCAGAAATCTTTTTAAGCCATATTTCAGCTTTGTGTGGATTAAAAGTATAAAACATAGTCTATAAATCCACTTAACTGGGCACAAGTAAACTGCAAAACGTCCCAGTGGCCTTGACATGAGTAAGGCGCCATGTCCATTCTTCCCTCCAGACACTCTGGGTGGCATATGTGACAATCTGACATATGGAATGAGTAAGATTGTCATTACTAATCTGCATATAAAATAGTACAGAAGCTTAATTTATTTTTTTTCCCAATTGGAACATTGTGAAAAGTAAGTTCTGACATTTTCTTCCGGTACCCAAATAGATCTTTTGAGCACCACCATCTTAGAGATCACTGGCACAAAGCACATAGTTATTAGAGGAGGATCAGTAACTGTAGGAAAAAAGACCAAGAATAGTCCAAGTGTGTGATGATCAGAGGAATGGAGAGGAAGATATAACATAAAGAAAAAGCACGAATAGGCAGAGGATAGATGGTTAGATAGCTGTGTGAAAAAGCAAATATAGCAAAACGATCATTGTAAAATCTTAGCGGTGGGCATATATGTATTCACTGTAAAATTCTTTCAATTTCCTATATGGTGGAAAGTTTTCATAATATATTGGCAAAATATGGAAAAAGAAAGCAACAGGAATTGGAAATTATATAGAGAACATAGCAAGAGGAGAGGAAGAAGTAAATATGACTCAAAGGATTTTGGCCCAGATGATTATGCGGATGGTACCTGTGATGGAAAGAAGGATGGGGTGACTTTAGGAGAAAGATGTTAAATTCAGTTTTAAATATGTTTATTTGAAGTGCTAGCAGGATAACCAAAAAGAAAGTCTCAAATGCAATAGGAAATACAGAAATAGAATTCAGAACAGAGGACAATATTAGAGATTTAGATAAGGGGCCAGCTATAGTAAATTGGTAGTTAAAGCTATGAAAATAAATACAGTCTACAAGGGAAAACAGGAAAAGGTAGAGAATTGAACTGAAACAATTAGTGGTCAGGAAAAGGGATGGAGACTAGCAAAAGAGACATGCCTGAGAAGACTAATAACTGCATTCACAATCTTTAAAAAGTCAACTTCTAGAGCAGTATACGTTCTAGTTTACAGTGGCAGATTTCACCACGAGGAACTCACTGTTGAAAGCCTTACAGACAAGAGAAGTATGTTATAAAAGATTATTCTAAAAATTATTTATTGAAGTATAATTTACACACAATAAAATGCACAGATCTTAAGTGCTTATTCAGGGATTTAAAAATCATAAGTGCTCGTTCAATCATAAAAAAACAAGTTCTGGCAACTGCGTGTGCCTGAGTAACCACTACCCCAAACAAGGTGGAAAAGACATCCATCATTTGAGAGAATTACTTCAATTCACCCCACTTACCTCCTCCCTCCTCGTTTTCTGACCTCTATCAGCATAGATGAGTGTGCCTGTTCTCAGACTTTAAATATTGGATAACTGAGTACTCATTCTTTTGTGTCTGGCTTCTTTTATTCAGCATGTTTTTGAGATTCGTCCATGTCATTGAGTGTTATCAACAGTTTTTTCTTTTTATTGATGGGTAGCATTTCATTGCAAGAATATACTGCAAATTGTTTATCCATTCTCTTGTTGATGGATATCTGGGATATTTCCAGGTTTGAGCTATGATGAATAAAGTTGCCATGATCATTCAGGTAAAAGTCTTTTTAGGAATAAATATTTTCATTTCTCTTGAGAAAACACCTCAAGGGAAACTGCCAAAAGTGCTCCAGAGTGTTCACATAATTTTACACCCCCACCCACAGTGCCAGTCCCAGCTACTCTACAATCTCACCGAACTTTGTTATTGCCAGTGTGTGAACTGTAGCCCTTCCAGGGGCCAGGAACCAGTGCACTGATGACTAACGAGAAGCAACTTTTCATGTTCTTATTGGCTATTCTTTTATCTTCTTTTGTAAAATGTCTGTTCAAGTCCTTAGACCATTTAAAAAGTAACTTTATTAAGGTATAATTTACATATCATAAAAATCACTTGTTTTAAGTATACAATTTCAATGATTTTTAATAATTTCCTGAGCTGTGCAAGCATCACTAAAATCCAGTTTTAGAACATTTCCATCACCCCAATAAGATCCCTTGTGCTGTTTACAGTTAATCTCTATTCCCGTCCTCAGTGCCAGGCAACCACTAATCTACTTTGTCTCTATTGATTTGCCTATTCTAGACATTTCACATGAATGGAGTCATAAAATAGCTGGTCTTCTGTGTCTAGTTTCTCTTACTTAGCCTAATGTTTTTGAGGTCTGTTCATTTTGTAGCATGTATAGTGTTTTATTCTTTTCTATTGCTGAATAGTATCCCATTATATGATTACATCATATTTTATTTACCCATACATTGGTTGATGGGCATTTGGGTTGCTTCCACTTTTTAGCTATTATGCATGTTGCTCCTATGAATAATTATACGCAAGTCTTTGTGCAGACTTATGTTTTAATTCCTCTTGGGTAGATATCTAGGAGTGAACTGCTAGGTGATATGGTAAATTTACATTTAAGCTTTTAAGAAACTGCCAAACTGCTTCCCAAAGCAGTTGTACCATTTTACATTCTGCCAAGCAATGTACAAGGGTTACTATTTCTCCCCATCTTTGCTAATTCCAAAGTCATAAAGATACTCTTGTAAATTTTCTTCCAAAGGCTTTTGTGATTAGTTCTTTGATCCACCTGAAATTACTTTTAGTGTCTGGAGTGAGGTGTAGTTGAAGTTCATTTTTCCTTATGGATATCCAGTTGTTCCAGCACCATTTGTTAAAGAGAATTTTCTCTCCTCATTGAATTGACTTGGGCACGCTGGCTGCAAATTAAGCGATCAAATATGTGTGCTTCTATTTCTGGATTCTTTATCCTCACCCATTGATCTATTTATCAATCTTTATGCCAATACTGCACTGTCTTGATTATTGTAGCTTTATAAGTCTTCCAATCTTGTACCCTAAATCCTTTACCTTTGTCCTTTTTTAAGATTGCTTGGCCAACTACAGCCTTTGTATTTCCATATATATTTTAGTCAATTTCTTCAAAACAGTCTTTTAGGACTTTGAATGGGACTGTATTGAATCTAGGTATCAATTTAGGGAGAAGGAACATCATTAACAATATTGTGTCATCCAATCTATGAATACAGTATGTCTCGTCAATTATTTTAGTTCTTCATTAATTTCTTTAGTGATGTTTTGTAGTTTTTAGTGTAAAGGATTTGCACATCTTTCAGTAGACTTGCTCCAAGGTATCTAATTTTTTTTACATCGTTGCAAATAGAATTTAAATAATTCTATTTTCCAATTGTTTGCTCCTAGAAATATTCTTAATACTGTAATCATGTTGAACCAAATATGTGTTAATTCTGTTTGTTTTTTTTATAAATTGGAATTCAATCTATAGGAGGACTGCCTGAACCTCATTCTAAGCCACTCATTTTTTAACCAAGGTAAATAATTTCTGATGAGTGATACAAAATGAATGCAAATTTTATTCATCTGCATCCTACATTCAAGAAGATATAGTAAAGAATTTTGGTTGGGGAAAATTCTATACTTATTTGTAAGACTAGACCATTAAACAGAACCTCTAATATATAAGACAGATAAGTATTATTAGCTAATGATTCTTAGAGGAATAGTTTTTCTGCTAAGCAGTAAAAATTGTGTGTGGGGTGGGGGTGCAGTGGGGGTATGTTAGAGACTTTCACTGAGTTTCTACTGCTGCTCTAAATGGCTACTATAGATACAAATATCTCTATCTTAATGACACTAAATTAAATACATTTTTGAAGGCTCAAGAAGCATGATGAGGCTATCCTGTGGTTGAGAATGTACCTAATTTATAAATATATTTATTTAGAATTTTAAAAGTTTGTCTTTAAAACAAATGTTTAAAAAAGGGCAAATTTACTTTCACTAAGATTTTTTAAAAATAGGATTTAACTGTATAATCCTCAAAAAGAGAGAAAGTCTCTCATAAAATTAGATATAATGACCAGAGTCAGTTGATTATGATATCCACCCACTGCTATGTGCTTATGCACATTATGTTTTATTTAGGGTATTGGAAAACTCACTATGTAAGCAAGAAGAGCAAGCAGGGATTAAGAGAATAAGTATGGTATAAAAGGTTTCTGAATCTCTACCTCCATCTTCACAGTCTTCAGGGGCTTTGGCTTTCTTACAAAGACGAGGATCCAACCAGGTGGTTGTCTTGGTATTGTGGCTGTAGAATAAACATTTCAATTAGAACTAGCACAGTAAAGAGGAAGAAAAGTATTTCAAAAGCAAAGACTTAAAGTGACTATAAGGTATACGATGTTGGAACATTTATCTCCTACAGGCTCCGTTTGTAGACCTCTGATTCAAAATCCTATTGTTCTCCCTCCATTACTTCAAAACTGCCATAAAGGAAAGGTAATGCTTGAGGCATTAATTCGAGAATGAAGACTCTCAGCAAAGGATGAAATGCCAAGTGCAGAATAAAGATACTTATTTAATCAGTCAAAATGTGAGCACATAGCCCCATACTGTGCATTATCTAGCTGAAAAAGCTGCACTGAAAACCTTATTTGCTTGCTGGCTGAATTCTTTCCTTCCTCCCTTCAAAAAACACTCTATTTCTTAAATGCCTGTCATGTGTGGGCACAGTGCTGGGGGCTGGGAATACAGAGATAGAGCCTCTGCTCTCACTGGGGCTCTTTAAAATAAAAGAGTTAAATGAAAGTTTTAAAGTGTCTGTTTTTGCAACACGCAAGTAAAAATGATGGGTATAGTTAAACTCAACTCTACAAAACTAAGTCTTCATTACCATGGACCATATATTTAACAGAAAAAAACCCGACAGAGAACAAAAAATTCCGCCCCCCCCCCCACCCTTTTATATGAAGTAGGCCACAGATGCTTTCAAAGAGCAGTGTCTGTTAAATTTCGCTATAGGTCACAATCAGTTAGCTTCAGACCAGGTCACCATGCAGCAGATCTAATGCTAAAATAAAACTATAACACAGCTAAGTGGACAAACAGCGTTATGGGTTAAGTATCTGAACTATGAGGTTATTAAAGAAAGAAAAAATCACGGAAGAAAATATATAGGAAGGTAACAAAATGTAAATTAAAGTTATTAGCAAAGTAGTGTGAGAGTAACCATGTGAACAAATTATCTTTTCTTGGTGTCTTTAACATGAGATTAACTCACTAATCTCTACGCTGACCACTCAGGAAACGAAGCCAATGGTTTCAGGGAATAGTCGTATCTTCCATACCTTTTCTAATTCCTGACCTATTCACAGAGCTGGCTATGCAGCCCCTTCTTACACACTGCCAGGTATGCTACTAGTTGGTAGACTGTAGTAGGAACACATTTTATATGCTGGATAATGGATAATCTAAGGAGAAATCTGGATCATTTTTAGAAAGTCTGTGTTACTCATTCTGTCAGAGAAAGAATTTCCCCAAACTAAAACCAGTTAAATCAATTTCAGCAAAACGAAAAGGATCAGAACTCCAAAGAGACCTAGGAGTATGCAGATGTTAGGGAAAAAAAGAAATCTTAGCATATCTTGCTAAACAAACTTCAAAATTGCTACATACGAAAATCTTCACTTTGGTTAATGATCTAAAATTTTTACTGCTAAATTAGCAGATGTAGGCAATCTGCTAGGATTTTACCCAATATTTCCCAAGGTAAAGAAATGCCCATAGGAGCTATACCCAAAACATAATAGCTAAAGATTATAGACCTATATTAGTATTCTTTATTTGCAGAAGCATGATTAAACAGCAGCAGTAACTCAGACCAAATACATTAGCTATAGCAAACAGGAGAGCTTTATCTAGCAGCAAATAATATTCAACTATATTCTAGATATTAGTCCCTTATCAGGTATATATGGTTTGCAAATATTTTCTCCTATTCCATAGGTTGCTTTTTCACTCTGTTGATTGTTTCCCTGTGCCGCACAAAAGTTTTTTAAGTTTGATGCAGTCCCATTTGTCTATTTCAGCTTTTGCTGCCTGTGCTTTTGGTGTCACATCCAGGAAATCCTTGCCAAATTCAACGTCGTGAAGCTTTTCCCCTAGGTTTTCCCCTATGTTTTCTTCTAGTTTTATAGTTTCAGATCTTACATTTAGGCCTTTAATCCATTTTAATAATGTTCACCTATAAAGACATTTCTTTTATAAATTCTTCCCCTACCCTTATAATTTACTCTCTTATTCGTATTTGCAGGGTGAAGTACTGTCAGATTCAACGTCTCAAAATCTGCTTCTGAAGATATTAGCCACTTTTAGTGACTCTCCATCTTACTCTTGGGGGTTTACTTCTAAAGTCAGCATGAAAGTCACGTCTAAATCACCCTTGAAAAATCCCTAAAATCGTCCACAGAGAAGAATATACCTGATTTTGTCTGTTTTGTATAATCCTGGTCATTAATGCCTACATAAATGTATAACATAGTTAACAATGTACCATATATGGTAAAAAGAACACCATGCACACAAAATCTATGTCTTTTGAACACTAGAATCCCACTTGTTACAGCAAGATGCTCACTCTAAGGGACGGAGATGGAATTTTGGACCAATTGAGGAAACAGATTCAAGTCTTCTACCCCCTAAATCATTTCTGAGTAGATCTTCTTTGAGTTTAGTGTCCAGCCTTCAATATTTTAATTGTTATTGAATTGCTGTATTCTGTAACTTCACTCCATTCATCTTCTACCTCTAAGCAAATTACTTTAAAGATGAGAATTACAGCTGCATGAGAATATAAAAAATACTTCATAATGAAACTTCTAATAAATTATTTATATGACATATTTGTATATTTGTTCTCAGGTACAAACAATATAAAACATTAGGTTGATTGAATACATGTGATATTCTATATCTCTATAAATATATTTTTATTTATATTAATAGTGCTTTCTCATAAAACAGTTTTATTTTTTGTGAATTTATATTGTATCAATTACTCTGAGGATCAGCGATATTTTCCTCCTACATTATTTAACTATATTGCCTGAATACATCAAATCTAAACTCTAGGACTGAAAATATTTAGCTCAGATAATAAATACACCCCCCACCAAATGATGATAATTCTTGAAATGCTCATTGAATTTGAAAATCTATCCAAAAGTTAAAGAAAAAAAGCAAAACACCCTTTATGCCTACATTTTTCATTATTAGTGATAAATCTGTTTTTAATCCTCCTGTTTTTTTAAAACCATAGGTTTTAAAATACACTATTCCTTTATCCAATAAAATATCATCCAGGGAAATAGTTACACTAAGAATCAACTGTAACTTGTAAAAAAGTATTTTTAAAGAAAGAAAGAAGAAATAAAGTCTGGTGAAATGAGGTTAAAACACTTTGAAGACAAGCCTCACGGTGGCGGCACGTTAGAAAAGACACAGACATTTGCTTACTCGATGAAGTAGACCATCCCTGTGTCAGTGTAGGCCATTTCCCAGTTTTTGGGCAGTGGTTCCAGATTCTCATCTCTCATCATGTAATTTCTAAAGTCCATGGAGCTATTTGTTTGGTTGTAACTTGGGACAGTCTTCATCCAATCAGACGACTCAGAATGCCGCTCTCTGTTTTCCGCTATTCAAAACAGAACAGTGTGAAAAGTAGGTAAAGTTACACTCAAACAGCCCGCTTCGTTTCTAACAAAATGCCAAATATTTAGTGCGAATTTCCCTGTCTATTATGTCCACATTCTGTATAATTTTTGAAAAACAAATAAACATACTGAATTTTTTTCATTTGCTAAGTGACGTTAATCCTGTACAGCACCTCTGATGCTAGTCTGGGAAAGAAGCAAAAAACAACACTAGAATCAATTCAGCATGTACTGAATATATATCAATCAATATATATATATATATATATAAGCCGCCACAGCACTTACACAGTACTTTTATATGCCAGGTTCTATTTTAAGCACTTTACATATATTAACTCATAATCCTCACAGCAACCCTCTGAATATATATTATCACTATTCCCATTTTACAGATGAGAAAACCAAGGCACAGTGAGGTTAAGTTAATTTAGTCAAGGTTACACAGCTAATAAACAACAGAGCCAAGATTTGAATCTAAGTGGTCCATGTTCCTAACTGCTATACCAAGCTGCCTCACAGACATTTAACATAGGCCTTTAAAATAATACTAATTTTGGGGGGCTGGCCCCGTGGCGTAGTTTGCATGTTCCTCTTTGGTGGCCTGGGGTTTGCTGGTTCGGACCTATGCACTGCCTGTCAAGCCATGCTGTGGCAGGTGTCCCACATATGAAGTAGAGGAGGATGGGCATGGATGTTAGCTCAGGGCCAGTCTTCCTCAGCAAAAAGAGGAGGATTGGCAGCAGATGTTAGCTCAGGGGTAATCTTCCTCAAAAAACAAAAAAATAATAATTTTTAAAAACTACACTCAATATACTTCCTGCTTTTAAATATAATTCTCTGTTGGTGATATTAAAATCCTTTTATGGTCCCAAATTCCATAATATAGGTAAGAATACTAAAATTTGGTTACTGTCCAGGGAGTTCACAATTCATGCACTTAAAATCCGTTTCTAGAACTTAAAAGATAATAAAACTGTAACTCCAACCTGCAGGCAGGGCCTCAGAATCAGAGAATCTGACAAGAGGCCTTAGATATCATTACATATCTTTCCTTACAGTACTTCCACTCCAACCATCCTTTATCCAACCAAGTTCTATAATCCATTAATCCTACTGCTTACTACCTTCCACTGTTCCTCACCCCCCATCCACCCCATAGTCATGTCCTCATTGCCCTACTGACCCAACTTAAATTCCATGACTAACCACCATAGTCACTCCCGTGTACATACTCTGATTCCTTTGCCCCAACCTTACGTCATCATACTTGCCTGGCTGAGACATAATTCTGCTTTAATTTCACTCTCCACCTACTCTACCTCAGCACACGTGGCTGAACACAGACAATGCTTACTAGTTCACTTTTAATTCACGATCACTAACCTCAAGAGGGCACTTAATGATGTGCGAAAAACCACAGGACATTTCTTTAGTCCACTCACTCTGACACTCTCCTACATAACCTCTTCATACCTTCCTTCTCCTTACATCTTCCAGTACTTCTGTCTTATCCCTAATCTCATTTGATGACCTTGTTTTCTATTTCACTGAGAAAACAGAAGCCAGCAGAAGAGAACTTCTACAAATTCCCCCATCACATCTACACAGCAACTGTGCCCATGTACTCCACCTTCTGCTGCTATGGAGGAACTGTCTGTGCGCCTAGATGAGGTTAACTCTCCAGTTATAAATTCTATCCCATCCACTCTTGCCTAGAGCAGTTCTCTCGCTCGCTCTCTTGCATCACCAATCTTCCCTATCTAGTAGATCACATCCATCTACATAAAAACAAGTTATTTCTTGATTCTTAGAAAGAAAGAAAATAATTCTTTTTCTCCTCTAGCAACCACCCCATTTCTCTTCTCTTTACACCAAACCTCCTTGAAAGAGTTTACACTTACTACCTCCACTTCCACTGTTCCATTTATCTCTGGAACTCACTCCAACAAGGCTTTTGATTTCTCATCAATAAAACGGTTCTTATCAAGGTCACCAGCCATCTCCATATAGCTAAATCCAATGATCAATTCTCAGTGCCCATCTTACCCGAGCTATCAGTAACATCTGACATAGCTGGTCACTCTCTTCCTTGAAACACTCTCTTCCCTGGCTTCCAGGACTCTGCACTCTCCTAGTACTCTTCCTACCTCACTGGCTCTTCTCAGTCTCCCTGACCTCCTATAGCGGAGTGCCATCTCAGGGCTCAGTCCTTGGACTTTTTCTCTTCTCTTTCTAGACGCTCTCTCTTGGTGATCTCATTCAGAGTCATTGCTATACAAGCTATATGCTAATGATGTCCAAATATTTATCTTCAGATAAGAACACAGACTTTTAAGTCCAACTTTAAACATGGTCTTTCCAACTGGATGTCTCATGGACATCTCAAACTTATAATACATAGCTCTGAAATTAGTTCTGCTGTGATTCTGTGGTTTTCTGCTCATGCTCTCAATTAGAAGTGTAAGATCTCGTAAGCAGTCACCACATCATTCAGGGGTACTCGAAAGGAGAAGGGTCCCCACTACTACAGTTCTGTTGGTTTTGCATTCAATGAAAAATATGCGAGTCGCACTCGGACATTTTCTTTGAGAGATTCAGAATTTAAACTCAAGATGTTGCTAACAAATCTTTCAGGTAATTTTTATTAGCATATTTCCAAACCTCTGAACTTTGTTTTGGTTGAAAGCTATATAGTTATATGTCACTTAATGACAGGGATATACTCTGAGAAATGCGTCGTTTTCTGTCATCGTGCGAGTATCATAGAACGTATTTACACAAACCTAGATGGTGTAGCCTACTGTATACACACTGAGGCTACATGGTACTAATCTTATGGAACCACCATTGTATACGTGGTCCACTGTTCACCAAAACATCATTCTGCAGCACATGACTATATCTTAAAACATCAACATTTTGTTCACAGCCTGTAAAGTAAAACTTAGGCCAACAAGATTTCCATATTCCAGCATCAGAAATGAATCCCAAATCTTTTAAGCAGCCGGGTAATGGCATACTATATTACTACTAATGACAACATTATTGATTTATCAAAATTGCCACTTGGGGCAACTCCAATTTACAAGGTGATTGACAGAGATGTTCTTTGTTCCATACAAAACCTTTAAAAAAAATCAGAATTCTTTCACTTGCTTTGCATATGAATATGGAATTATCTTTCACATAATTTTTGTAAAAAATTTTACTACTTCCAATTCAGCATCATGTTAAAGGCAACCTGTAAGATCAGTTAGAAGTCGTTCATCTATTCACAAACCTGCACCTCCACTGCCGTTAACAGCTTCCTTGTCCTCATCTTCTTCCTCTTCAGGAAGAGAACTGTCCATTCTTTCCATCTTGCTGACAGATGTAGTTCGTTTCCTTTGGGATTCTGTGTCAAACTCATTATCAAAAAGGACCTGATCAACCGGATCTGGCTGGAAAGGGCTGGGTTCTGCTGGAGGCTTGGGGGTTCCATAGAAGTTTCCTGAAGTGAACGAAATAACAGCAGCTGAAACTAATGTTGAATGGACAGTCAGGAGAATATGACCTAGTGTGTGTCTCTGCCCTGTTATCTTATACTCAAGTTTTTGAACACCAAAAGGAGGCCAAAACACTTCTTGGGAGAAGAGGAGGCAGAAAGAGCATAAAGAATTAATTTCTCAAATGCCCTTCACCATGTATTATCTAACATTATCCAACATTTTAATACTGTTTGTACTAAAACTAGGAAGTTGACTTTATGTATGTAGGTTATTTATTCCTACAGGGCTTGCCTTCTATGGGTTCTAAATTAGGTCCTAATTTGTGAATTTAAATGCATCAATGCTCTCATGTAAGACTAATTGGCAAAAAAAAAAAAGTGGGAGTTAAGGAGGAAAAAACTAACTCAAATAATTTTGTTCTGATGTGTAACATAATGAACTATTTTGGTAAAATGAGGAAATATGTGGGCAAAGGATAAAGCTAAGAACTAACCAGTCTGTGCTGAAATGTAGGCTGTTTATATAAAAGTAATTTTTAAAAGTTTTTCTGAGCATTCTAATTATATTATTTTATCTGACAATTTACTGAACAAATAGAGACATTATTAGCATAATTCAATATTGGCTTATTCTCAGGAAAGCAAGAAATACTTTAATATGTTAAGTCTTGAGGATCAGTAAATTTTACAGTAAAAATTAATGTTCCAGAATAGAATGAAAACAATTGAATATATTCTCAATTTGGCATGTAGTTCCCATTAGGCAGCCAAATACAATGGGACAGCACTCAATAGGTCTGGCTACATTGACAGTTTGTGGCTCCTGCTGGTTTTGATCTTATATCAATCACTATACTAATATCATAGAAAGATAAATATGGTTTGGGAATAAAATACTCATGATCTTCTCCTTTTTTTTTTTTTTAATGCTTTTTTGGTGAGGAAGATTGGCTCTGAGCTAACAACTATTGCCAATCTTCCTTTTTTTAATCCCTCCCCAAAGCCCCAGTACACAACTGTATACCCTAGTTGTAAGTCATTCTAGTTCTTCTATGTGGGACGCCACCATAGCATGGCTTGATGAGTGGTATGTAGGTCTGCACCCAGGATCCAAACCAGTGACCCTGGGCTGCTGAAGCGGAGTGCATGAACTTAACCACTTGGCCACAGGGCTGGGCCCCTCTTTTTTTTTAAGTCATATCTTCTAATCAAATTCCTTGGCTCCTAAGGAGGTAATTAGGATATTTATTCACATAAGGTAAATTGATGGGCTGTTTATTGGATTATTTAAGGTAAACACAATTTACTTTAATCCATGCATGCTTTGAGGGGGAAAGTATTAAGATGAATTCTTCAGAAATTTGACTTTGGGCAGTAATTGTCATTTAAGTACTGAACACAAAATAATGAAATCAAACCAAAAACTTTTCAATTGTATTTTGTGTCTCCCCACTCAACTACTTCCTTGCTTCCAAATCTATGTTTGAAATGGAGTCACTCCTGTCAGGCAGATGGATTCTGCAAAAGTTCCTACTAAAAAAGATTAAGAGGATCTCCGCAAACTCTCTTGCCCATAAGTAGAGCAAGGAGTCAGTGAAAAAGCCAGTTCACACTTCTCTGGGGCAGAGGGCACAGGAATGCTCTAAAGAGAGGTTACCTGGGGAGCGGGGTGCTCTCGGATCTCTATTTGTCCTGCATTACGTCCAATAATCACAGCACCAAGGAATTTGGATGCACCCTGACGAAAGTGAAAAGCCCACTTTTTCTAAGGATGGTAGTTTTACTAGAAACACATTTTTCAGTGTATTTTTGGTAATTATTACCCAATTCTAGGAAGTTCAACTTTTTCTTAGGGTGAAAATTAGAAAAATTCAGGATATTATGATTGGTATCCATAACCATTGATAAGATTTTAGGACCTCATAATAAATTCTGGCAGTTTCCTTATTTAAAAAAAAATTATTGGGCTTAGATCAAAAAGAAAACTAGCATTGGCTATAAATAAATTAGATCTATTTGTCTTGAGTTGTTGGTAAATATGAAGAGTTCAGATACAGCAAGATATAAAACTATGAGGGGCTGGCCTGGTGGCACAATGGTTAAGTTTGCACGTTCTGCTTCAGCGGCCCCGGGTTCGCCAGTTCGGATCCCAGGTGCGGACCTACGCACTGCTTGTCAAGCCATGCTGTGGCAGGCATCTCACATATAAAGCAGAGGAGGATGGGCACAGATGTTAGCTCAGGGCCAATCTTCCTCAGCAAAAAGAGGAGGATGGGCAGCAGATGTTAACTCAGGGTTAATCTTCCTCAAAAAAAAAAAAAGAAAGAAAGAAAGAAACTAAAAATAACTAAATAAAACTATGAGATTTATGAACCCTGACTATAGTTATCAACAGGAAAAATTTTTCATCTTTTTGAAGCTGTTTTGGAGCTTTTTGTGTTTCTTTTTTCTTTGCTGAAGGCTTTTTCATTATTATAATAGAATTACCAACTATTAAATATTTTAAACATATATAAAATCACAGACAATAGTAACAGAATAGTGTTAGAAACATCCTTATGTATTTATTTATACATCCTCCAAATATTAACTTTTGCCAGATTCCTTTTAGGTCTCCTTTTTTTCCCTCTTCAAGGACATATATATATGGTCACATACACAGTTAGAGCCTTAACTTCCTAACTTCCTTAACTTTTTCATACAATTATACTTCTAAGACTTATTCCTGTTGATACACTGTAGATTCTAGACCATTTAACTGCTGTATAACAGTCCAGTTTTATGAACAAATTAAAATGTACTTTATTCATTCCTCTACAAAAGAGAGTTGTTTGGATCTCTTACTGCTTTAAATAGGGCTATAACGACTATTCTGGTACATGTCTACATACGCACATAGACAATGGCTTCTCTAGAGTAGGCATATAGAGAGGGAAGTGCTGGGTCAGAGTTCTGTGCATCTTCAAATTTACTAGCTATCGCTAAGAAGCTCTCCAAAGGGACTGTATCATTTTATACTCGTGCCAGCAGTGTATGGAAGTTTCCATTTCCCACAATTATCAGACTTTAAAATTTCTGCAATCTGGTGGGTGTGAAATGGTAGAAGATTGTTATTTCAATTTGCATTTCCTTTGAATTGAGCACACAGTAATTAATAATATGTAATATGCCAGTTTGTCATATACTATGTTCTTATACTTAACAAAACGTAGGAGAATATCTTTGAGATCTAAGGGCAGAGAAGGAATTCTTAAACAAAACTTCAGAAGCACAAATCATAAGAAAAACAATGATAAACCTGACAAACAAAAATTAAGGATTTTTGTTTAATGAAGAAACACAGGACAAAGTTATTAGGTGACATAATGGGAGAAAAAGCTATATCCAATAAGGGATTGGTACTAAATAAATATCTAAATATCTAAGGAATGTCTGCAAGCTGGAATGTGATTGAGAGCCCCATTTAAAAAAATGGACAAAGCAAATGAACAGACAATTTGCAGGAGTCCAAAAAAACTAACAAGCCTATGAAAAGATGCTCAAACTCTCTGACTACCAGAGAAACAAAAATTAAAATGAGATACTACTTCTATAAACCACCAAAATGGCAAAATTATAAAGCTGGATAATGTCAAGCGTTGACGAGGATATGGGGTCATTACTGTAGCCACTACAGAACCAAATCCTCATGCACTGCTGGTGGGAATGTAGACTGCAAGGCTATCCAAAACTACTTCATCAGATTAAGTATACATATACCTTATAACCCAATAATTCTGCTCCTGGGTACACATATTCCACAGACATTCTCATACAGCTCTATGAGAAGACACGTGTGAGAATGTTTGTTCCAGCTTTGTCTGTGGTGATGGAGAGTTGGAGGCAATCTGGAAGTCCATTACTAGCAGAATGGTTAAGTAAAATGCAGTGGATGCACAACATGGAGTACTATGCAGTGGTTAAAAAGCAATGAATTACGTGCAAATAAAGTATAGCAACATATATGAATCTAAAAAACATAGTAATAAATGAAAACATTTAAAAACCAAAATATATAACACAGTCCAGATGTAAATAATAAATACATGCACACAAGACACAAGACACATTTTACAAACACACATAATAACAAAAACATACATATTAAACATATCAGAATGGTTGCCTATAAAAGAGGGGTGAATGAGAGTAGGCTATTTCCATAAAAATAAAAAATAAGTAGCTGTCATTTCCTCTGAGAAGTCTTCACTGGCCACCTTCCCTAAATAAAACATTCCTATTATTTTCTTTAAATCCCTTGTTTTTGTTTCCTTCATAACATCTCAATTTATAGTTATGTTGTTTGTTTTTTCACTGCCTTCCCCGTTAAGATATGGGATTTATTAAGGCAGTATCAATTCAATATTGTTCATCACAGTATCTCTAGTCTCTCTTATAGTGCTTGGCACATAGCAGGTACTTAACAAAGGGACTGTTGAATGAATAAAGGAGGATGAAATGAATGAATGAATGAATGAGTTATGGGAGCTAAGCCCAGAAAGGCTAGGTGGGTCAAACTCAGCAGGCAAAAGGAAATCACTGAAGATTCTCAGGACTCGGAGAGAGACGTGACCAGAGCTGTACTTGAGGAAGACCAGCATGGCAGCAATGCGCAGAGAGAGCTGGATAGAGCGAAGAAGTTGGAACAAATGAGATTACCTGCAATAGCCCAGACTTCAGCTAGTCCTGTGGGCCTTCAATGAGGTGACAAAAGTGAAAAGAAAGGCACTGTGAAAGCTGCTACAAAGGAAGAAATGACTAGATTTGGTAACAGACTGGATGGGAACTGGGAGAAAAAGAAGGAAGTGATGACTCCACCGTTTTGAACTCATAGTGCAGCCAAAGAGAGAAATTACGAAGAATTACTCTTTTGGATAGAACACAAAAGCACATTTGGATATGCTGAATTCAAGGTTAGGTATTTACTGAACACCACCTCTAGGCACTGAAGATAATATTGAATAAGAAAGACATGATGTCTGCCTTCATAGAGCTTGTGAAAAAGACAATTATAATAGCATGATAAAGCCATGATGGAAAAGTATACGGCACCATGGGAGTGGATAAGCTTGCCAGTGAAGAAGTTAGATAAGGGGAGGAAAAAAAGGATCTAAAATAGAATCATTTAAAAATTGAAATTGATCTTAAATCTGTACTTCCTAGAATCAAATGGGTAGAGGAAAGAGATACGAAAACCAATTATTCAGCTTTTGTTGTTTTTCCCCCTAATCTATATTCTCTCTTTTTCAAGATAGTCAAGGTATAAATAGATTTTGTTAAAGTGTACAGTGTTTGGATTCCCAACCACAAACAAAGCAATAAAAAAATACCTGTTGAGTTCATATGATGAATGTGAATTACTATGAAACATGCAAACTAGTGAGTTTCAATGATTTCACTATATTGTTCACAATCAACTTTATAATATTATGGAATGCTTTTGCTTATTGTTTACTACCATTTTAATTAGTTAGTTACAAATATCCTAAGCAAAAGAAAATTTTCCCAAAGACCAACAGAAAAAACTTAAAAAAAAATGGTATTTTACTGATCAAATTCCCTCTGAAAAAATTCCAGTCATTCAGATAGTCTTCTGGGTTGCTGCTGTTGTCAACATTTGGGGACATACCATCATACGTTCCACTTTCTAATAATGCTCCACTCTCTTCCAGTGCTTTGAACTGTTCAACAGAAATGAAATTATAGTCCACCCCTGGTACTTCCCCATCCCTGGGGGCCCTTGTAGTGCCTAAGGAAAAAAACAAGAAAAAAAAAATAGGTTGTAAAATGTTTTTTCAACTTATAAAATATTGAGAATAACAGAAAATTCAGTCTATAGAGAACATATGGGAGAAACAGACTATTGAACATATTGTACCTTCTGGAATGAGGATCAGAAAATTTCAGACAAGTTAACATTTCTAGGACAACAAATAACGTAGGATGAGGAAATCTACTTTAATAAAATCTACAGATAGCTATAAAATTCAAAACTACGAAAACTAAAACAACTTCAGTTGGTCAAAGGAAGCTTAACCTTCCAAGATACAACAGTTAATTCTTCTAAACCTCAATTATCATTACTTAACATTTGAAGGAGAGACAAATCCACCAATGATAGATGTCATCTTTACGGAGCTATCCTATACATTTTTTTCTTCCACAGCACAAATGTAAACTAATATTCTACTTACTAGAGTCATGAAGGACAATAAAAAGAAACAATTGTTAACAGTTCTTTTAATGAACTATTTTAAAAACTTGGGCAAATATATTATGAAATTATTTTAGACTAATGAATAAAAGGCTTAAGGCTTAAGACAGGTATTCACATAGTGCCTCCTAGCCATTATTCTCTTTAAGTAATTTCAAAAAATTAAGCAGTAAGTAAACTGTTTAATGAAATTCACTACAGTGACAGAGCACTAAATTTCTATCTAGTAAGGAATTCATGCTAAAGTAAAATCTTTCTTTCAGGTCCAAGGTATAAATTCAGGTTATGGCAGCATTGCTAGATGTGAATGAATTTTACTGAACAAGAATCAATACTCTCACAAACTGACATTAGAAATGTCATTGCAAATAGTAGAGAACACAAAAACGAGATCCAGGTATTCAGCCTGGAAATAAAGTTGGGATATTGTAGCAAGTCTGTGCGAGGATGCCTTCCCAAACCTGTTCCTGCTCCTGTGCTCCCTATTCAAAGGGCACTCCAAGCCAGAAACCTGAGAGTCAACCCTCTTGGGTTCCTCCCTCTAGTCCACATCCAGCCACCAAATCTGGTTGATTCCATCTCCTGAATACCTCTAGGATTTACATACTTTTCTTCATTCTCACACTTACCTAATTCATATCATTATCTAAGGCCTGTATTGTTGGTCTCCTAGGGTCAACCCTTCTCCCTGGCGACACCCCTTACCCAAACTGTAGCCAGTGACTTTTCTAAAACAATAATCTAAGAAAAAAAAATCTCTAAACCCATCAATAGTTTCTCACAATTCTCGGCATAAAATCCAGACTCTCCCTCTCCAGCTTCTTTCTTGCCTCACCCCTTTCACATTTTAGGCTTTAACCATAAAAGAGTTTTTCAATTCTTTTAATGTTCCTTGTACTAGCTTATCTCCCAGGCCTTTTGTCTAAGCCATTCCCTTCCCTGGAAGGGTTCCTATTCCCTTTCCCACCCTTACCTCAGTTAACTCCTACCCCTCCTTCAGGTCCTGGCTTACAAAGTTTCATTAGAGATTCTCATCTTTGGTATGGCAATATGTAGAGACCATGTCTACTTATTCAGAGTAACAGCTCCAAGTCTTGGCACAGTGTAAGAATCATAGCAGATAATATAGATAGTTGTTAAACAAATTAAGTGAAATTTTACACAAATGTAATTAGCACAATGCTTGGAAATATACTATTATTATTATAAATTAATTCACGGGAAACTATTAATTGCTCTTACTTTTTAGTTACATTACATTCTATTATATTCTGTAATATGTGAAAAAAATCCACAAAGATGATGATAAAACATTACAGTAAGGATCTCAAAAAATAATGATTGACATTCTAAGCAATAAAAATTGTATTCAATAAATTTCCCCCCTTATTTTTAGCCAAGTTTTTATAAAAACAAGCATTTCTGTATCTGTTTTACATCGCAGAGAATAAAAAATCTGGAAAACCTAACTTCCTTTGTTTTCTTAACACATTTTTTCAATATCAAATTTTGTTTCTCATATTTGACTAAAACTATATCGTTAGATTCCTGAAATCAACAGCTTTTAGCTCCGTATTAAGTAAAAATTAACATTAGAGGGGCTGGCCCAGGGGCGTAGAGGTTAGGTTCAGGCACTCCACTTTGGCAGTGTGGGGTTTGCAGGTTCGGATCCCGGGCATGCACCGCTCATCAGGCCATGCTGTGGCGGCATCCCACATGCAAAAAATAGAGGAAGACTGGTACAGATGTTAGCTCAGGGACAACCTTCCTCAAGCAAAAAGAGGAAGATTGGTAACAGATGCTAGCTCAGGGCTACTCTTCCTCTCTCACACACACACACACAAATTAACATTAGAAAATGAATTCAATGATTAAATTTAAAATTTAGAATTATTTGTGACAGGCGGAAAAACATGGTCACAATATTTTGCATCTCCTCCCATCAAGAGATGGGGCCCGTTGCCTCACCTCTCGAACCTAGACTGGATTTACGACTTGCTTTGAGTAATTTAATGTGGAGAATAGATGGATGTCTAGACTTCCATCTTTGCCTTCTTGGAATGGTCCCAATAGCAATGTTTGGAAGTCCAGGCTAGACTACTGAATGATGAGAGAGACCCAGTCAACAAACAGCACCAAGACCCAAGACATGTGAGTGAGGCTATCTTAGCCCCTCCAACTCCAGTTGAACTGCCGGTGACTGAAGCCACATGAGCGGTCCCAGTTGAGCTCAGCCAACTCATGGAATCATGAGAAATAATACACGATGGTTATTTTAAGCCATTAAGTTCTAGGGTAGTCTGTTATGCAGCAAGGGCTAATTGAAATATTATCCAAAAACTCTACTATAAAATATAATGACTAGATAAAATCTGCTTTAAGAGCAAACCTTATTATAATTAATACTATAAAAAGAGTGCTGACGCAAGGGGCAGGAGCACCACTGTGTTTCAGTCTGGGATTATTATTAATGATACAATTTTAAACAAGCACTTAATCCCTCTGGGCTTCATTCTCTTTCTGCAAAGTGGTGTTGACCAAGATGGTGTTCATGATTCTTTCCATTAATACATAAGAAATGCTACATGTGATTCCAACATACTTTGTAAGTCTTTAGACAAAGCTACTTACAAAGCAGTTTTAATGTTAATTCTCTTTATAAATATAAGTATTATAAGTTTTCACTTCCTCCCCCAAAAAACATGTAATTCCATATATATAAAAACGTTCTTCCCCTTTCCCTACCCTACCCCATTCTGTTCAGCATTCCAGAAAATTTATCTTTATATTCTCTTGATACTCTCTAAACTTAATGTAAAGCTTTCTACATCCCCTCCAATCACCACTATATTTCTTCTTTTTACATAAAAATTTCTCCAACAATTTCTGTTTACTCACAGTCTCCAATTCCTCTCCTCTCCTTCTCTCTTGAGCTCATGCCAGTCAGACCATTGCCTCACCCACTCCATGGACATAATAGCTATTTTCATCCATAGTCTCCATTTTGCTTAACCCAATGGTCAAGTCTCAGTCCTCACATTACCTGCTTATCAATATTTGACATAACTGATCATTCCCCCTTATTATTTTATTCTGAAATATATAGGAAAGTACATAAAACATATATGTAAAGTTTACCAAGTAATAATAAAGCAAACCCATCCAGTGAAGAAACAGAATATTCCCAGGACACCAAAAGCCGCAATCATAAATCTCTCCCTCTTTCCACCCCGAAAGGTAACCACCATTTTGACATCGTCATGATAATTTCTTTTTTAAATGTTTTTACCACCTAAGTAATGCATTTCTAAGCAACACAGCTTAGTTTTGCCTGTTTAGAAACTTCATATGAGTGGAATCAAACCATAGGCATCCTGTGTCCACATCAATACTTGTTATCATGTTTTTAAACTTCTGTCAACATGCTAAGTATGTAAAGGCATCTCACTTTGTATTTAACACGCAACTACCCTATGACATTAAACTCCTTTTCATATATTCACCAGCCAGAGATTTCTTCCTTTGTGAAGTAGCTGTTCCAGTCTTCTGCCACTTCTCTGTTGGGTTGCCTGTCTTTTTAAAACTGATTTGTAGTTCTTACATTCTGGATACTACAGAACTTCATCAAATCTAAGTAATCAACAGCTTATAAAACGCACCATTATTTTATCCCTAAAAAAGAAAAACACCTGGCAATTATAATTGAAAGATTCAATCTATTCTAAGATGCATTCCAATTGTAGAAAGGTTAAAATGTGAAATAATTATGTATTAGTATTGATGAAACACTGCAATCCTTTGTCAGGTATATGTGTTGCAAACAGAGTGTTTCTGCTCAATGAAATATGCTTTCTTAAAACAGTGCTTTCTGCAAAATTATGCATCAAAAATAATAGAGATCTTGGAGAATATAGGGTCAGAGTTCATCTCTCAAAATCTATCATAACTTTGTAACTACAGTGCTGGCAAAATCAGTAACAACTCTAGTTAAAAATATTAATACAATTTAAAAGTGTTAAATTCCTAATAAAAAGTATTAGAGCAAATAAAATACTTTTTTTAAAAAAAAAAATTTAAAAAAAGGAATGAAAAGAAAAAGTAGCTTGACAGAAAGAGGTACAAGGAGGGTTGAGTCTACTGAATAATGAAGATAAGGCAAAATATGCAATAAACAATTTTAACACAAAGCACATGGTCAAAATAAGAAAACAGGCCAAATTAAGGTGAATCAGGTACAGTAGATGCAACACCCAGCTATGTTTGTATATTCTATGTTTACTTGCTGCTACTCGATGATACACAACATTAGCTTGCTGGGGAAAAAGGATAAGAACCACTATTACCTCAGCTAAACTGACATCTTTCTCCTACTTACTTATCAATCACATATGAACTTATTTGCATTACAGAAACAATCGTTGTAGCAGAACAGACAGTCTCTTCTCCCACTCTATGATCTTCTTTTCATCTTTTTTTTAATGGTCTTTTGATGACAGAAGTTTTTCATTTTAGTGTAGTCAAATATATCAATCCTT